ATCCGTGGGTAAATAGTCCTGTCAGTAACGGACTGGTCTGGGCGAGTAGTATCGCATGTATTTGGGCAGTGGGGCGGGTCAGTGCGTCGGCGATATTCGAGGCTCCTTTTTTATATGTGACCGTATAGTGGAAATTCGATTCGAGGAAGTCGAGCCACCGAATCTGTCGTGGGTTGAGGTGGGGCTGTGCGCGAAGGTACTGTAGGGATCGATGGTCTGTCCGTACTGTCACGTCTGCGCCGGTCAAGTAGCAACGCCACACTTTGAATGCATGCACGATCGCGAGCATTTCGCGGTCGTGTATCGGGTAATTTCGCTCAGGTGGATGTAGCTTGCGTGATTCGTAGGCGATGGGTTGGAGGCCGTTGCCGAAGTCCTGTAACAGTACGGCTCCGATGGCGATGTCACTCGCGTCTGTAACAACTTCGAAGGGGCGGTGTGGGTCAGCGATGCGTAGGACGGGTGGTGTACAGAGAACATTTTTCAGGGCAGAGAAGGCAGCATGCTCTTTCTCCCCCCACGTAAAAGGGACCCCCTTACGCAGTAAATCAGTGAGCGGGGCTGTTAAGCGTGCCATGTCGGGGACGAACCGACGAACGTAATTAACAAACCCTAAAAATCTCTGTAGTTCCGTGATGTTCGTCGGGGGATGCCACGCTTTTACGGTATCCAGCTTCTTAGGGTCTATCTCAACCCCAGCCTCCGAAATGACGTGACCTAAAAACTCTAGTCTGTCCCGAAAAAACTCGCACTTGGAGCCCTTGGTGAGTAACCGATGTGCCTCTAAAATTTTAAAAACTGCTTCGAGATCTACTAAGTGCTGCTGCTGGTCCCGACTGTAAACGAGGATGTCGTCGAGGTAAACTATGACGCATTTATCTAAAAGTGGCCTAAACGCCTCGTTCATGGTCATCTGAAATGTTGCAGGCGCGTTGGTCAGCCCGAAAGGCATCACCGTGTACTCGAATGACCCGTACCTAGTCCTAAATGCTGTCTTGGCGCAGTTCGATGGTTCGACCCGAATTTGATGGTAACCTCCCCGTAAGTCTATTTTCGAAAATACTCGTGCGGTTCGCAGCTGGTCGATCAGTTCGTCGGCGCGGGGGATGGGGTATCGTGATTTTACTGTTACCCTGTTAAGCGCTCGGTAGTCGATGCACATGTGAAACCCCCCGTCTTTTTTCGGTGTGAGCAGTATCGGCGCGGCGAACGGTGACGAGCTCGGTCGGATAAACTGCTTCTCTAACAGGTAATCTAACTGCTTCCTTAGCTCGTCGAGCTCGGGCTGTGTCAGTCGAAATTGGTGCTGTACAGTTGGTTGTGCCCCCGGTTCTAACTCGATCCTATGGTCATGCGCCCGCTGAGGTGGCAGCCCTTGCGGTAAGTCATCCGGAAAGATACCCGGGAACCGTTTCAGTAGTGCTTGTAGTTCGGGTGGTACGGCTGCCAACAGTTTCTGCAAATCACTCGGCCGGTTCTCTTTTTCCACTAATGCGATATCCACTGCGTACACGTCAGCTCCAGCAGCGACAGCCCGTTTCATCGTGATGGCGTTGACCTGGACCGTCGAAGACTCGGGTGGCTGCCAGCGAGGTAGGACGACCCAGTTACCACTACTTCGCACTGTGCAGCTACCCGTCGTCCAGTCAATTCGTGGGTTATACCGTCGCAGCCAATCACGTCCCAATAAAATGTCATGCCCATCCAGTGTCGTTGCGAGCATTTCCTGTGTAAACCCGAAGTTCCCTCCGCAGCGGACCTTTACTCTTTCCACCTTTTCCCGTATAGCCAGTGGCGTGCCGTCGACTAAGCGTGCGTCTATCTCAGGTAAGCATCGGTTAAGTGTTAACTGTAATTTCCGTGCGGTTGCGGTATTAACTAAGCTGTGACTTGCTCCTCCGTCAATAAAAATCTTCACTGCTGCTCCCTGTATTTTCCCGTAGATTAGTACCGGGCAATCCGTCGCTGTACCCTCCTTATTCATCCGAGCCCGATCGATGGCATGAATCGGTACTGTGACTCGGTGAGGGTCGGTGTGGTTGGGCGAGCAGGCAGTCTCGTCAGTAGTTGGCCCAACTTCTACTGACTGCTGGCGTTTCCCTGCCTCTGAGACTCCCTCCCCTGCTCTGCTCCTCGGCGCCTCAGCTCCTCTGGGCATTCGCTCTTGCGATGGCCCGGCCTGTTGCAAGCAAAGCAGCGCCCCTTAAACGGTGCGGCAGCTGCATTCGTTGCGACGGCGTGTACAGTGGCGTGCTCGGTCGGTCCCCGAGGACGATGTCCGTAATAGGACCCCGGTCTCGGTCGGCGTAGAATGTCGATCTTCTCGGCGAGCGCGAGAATCTCGTTGAAGTTAGAGAGTCCGCGCAGCATTATCTCGTGCGAGATGTCCGGCTTCAGCCCTCCGACGTAACGGTCTACCCGCTCCGCTTCGTGCATGTAGCCGACCTGCTCGCAAAGTGCGAGAAAACCGCTAGTATAGTCTTGAACTGACCCGAGCTGGCGCCAAGTGCGCAGTTTCTGACGCGCCGAAATTGAAGCCGCGATCGGCTCAAAACGCGCCCGAAGTCCTGCGCACCACGCATCCCACATGCTGTATTGGGCGGTCTCGCAGAACGAACTCCAGGTGACAGCTGGACCCGAGGGCCCTTCCTCGTGCGACGGTGGCTCGTAGGCGCGTGGCGACGTCACGATGACTCGCCACCAGTCCATGGCGGGGCCTCTTAGCAGTGAAACCGCATACCGGATCTTTGCGGCGTCCGACTCGACGTAATTGGCGTCGAAGAAAACGTTCATCGTGAAGACCCACGATTGAACTGTCGGACCGCCGCGTTGACTTGGGTCGAAGCAGGGCGGGCGTTGCGGCTTGAGCGGCATTGGTGCCATGTTGGGTTGTTCGCCACTTGTCGCCGCAAATTCCACGTGCCGACGGACTTCTCGAGGCTCCCGTGGGCTTGGTGCGATCCTGTTTCCTCCCATGCCAGGCATCGGCTGGGCGGCGGCCTCACTGGCTGCGCCTGAGCGTTGTCCCGTGCTCTCGTGTTGTGTTGGTGTGCCGGACGAGATGATGATCGGCTCATCCGAACGTGCAGATGCGTTTGTTGGTGCGTGGGATGTCGTCGGTACGTTCATCGTGGATTGTTGACGGGCGGAGTCACGTTCCGCCGTGAGGGTCGCGATTTCAAGCGCCGAATCCTCCAGTTGACGCACGAGACGATCGAGTTGCTCCTGCGTCAACGTGGCGAGATTGAAATCGGCCATGGCGGGGGTGTCGGGCAAGCTCAGCGAGAGCCTCGGTCGTGGCCGTGCGTGCTTGCGAGAGAGCACTACGAGCGGCGGTGCTGTATCGCTGAGAGACGTCTACCCCCCCCAAAAATTGAGATAGTGGGGAAGTGAAGGTGTGGATGCGGTCCGAGATGGGATCGTAGGCTCTGAATACCAAGTGTTACGAGTGCAAGTGAGTGAACGAGCAAGAATTGCACTATCGAAGCAAGAGTACAATGAGCGAAGGTATGAGCGAAGAATATATAGCGAAACTACAGTGGTAACGGTAATGGTCGCGCGACGAGCCTGGGACTGAGGTTGGGAACGTGTCGAAGCGTAGGCCCGGAGCGCGGGTTACCAGCCGAGCCGTGAGGTCGGGATGCGATGTGCGAAAATGGCGGGATGATGAATGATGCGATGGTCGCGAGTGGTAACGGTGCTGACTGAGGTGCTACAGTGGTGTACGCGTTGAGCAGAGATGCGAAGGAAGGAAAAGGGAATTTCCTTACAGTTATCCCCTGAACGGATTGAAGGTGGGATAATACACTACCCTACCATTTCAACTCATACTTCGCCAATTCCATTTCTAGCTCCTCCATTGCAGCCATAGCAGCAGCCTCTGTAGCATCATCTGACATTCTCGCAGAACTGGCAGCAGCGGCAGCAGCAGTTTTACTCGACTCAACTCTTCCTGCAGCCGCTGTTGCACCAGTCTCAGCACCAGAAGCACCAGCAGCTGCACCACCACCAGCAGCGGCAGCACCAGCGGCAGCACCGGCAGCAGCAGCAGCAGCGTAGCAGCATAGGTGCATGAGCTCGAGTGTGCGGGGAAGAGGTCGGCATCCCGACATGTGCATGTCCTTCAATACACCCCGCAGGAATATAAGTGGTTGTGGGAGTGAGGAGGATGGGGAGGAGGAAGGAAGCAGGCTGTTCTCAGTGCTGCTGCTGCTGCTGTTGCTGCTCCACTGACTGCTGCTGGTCCCGTAAACCACACGGGTATTCACATTCACAGCGACCCCACCAGCAGCGCCAGCGGAACCACGCAAAACATTGTTACCACCACATGCGGCATGAATCGCAGTTGCGCTTGCAGCAGCGGTGGCTGTAGCAGTTGCAGCGGCGGTAGCAGTGGTGAGGTAGGTTTGGAGGAGCATGTGGAAGTTGGGGAGGGTGGGACGGTAAGGCGGTGAGGTTCGGTGCATGTGGACAAAGAGAGCTTGAGAGTCATGCAGAGTGCGGGCCTGGGACGGGAAGTGACGGGGCGAGGGAGCGGGTGAGGACGAAGGAGAAGGAGAAGGAGAAAAGAGAGAGTGTGGATGAGGCATGAAGCATGGCAGGAGTCACGGCATGGGGAGATATATAATGGGTATTTCAGGAACAGGATGAAATGGAGGGAGAACACGAGTGTGGTTGGCACGTGGGGGAAGTGCGGGCGGGATTACGGAAGCACGGGAGAGAGAATAGAGCACGCAGGCGGATTAGGGAAGGAGGGCGCCATTGGTGGAGGGATGTCAGTGCTTCAATACATTGCACCTCACAGGGCCATCGTGATTCCTCAGAGGGCCATCGTGATTCCTCAGAGGGCCATCGTGATTCCTCAGAGGGCCATCGTGATACCTCATCCTAACCGACCGGACAGATGCAAGGAATGATGCATCTCACTCCCACCCCTCACACCATCTCCTCTCTTCATACCATCCCCACTCCTCACACCTTCTCCAACCACCCCTCACCCCTCACAACCATCCCCACCCCGCACAACCATCCCCACCCCTCACAACCATCACCCCCTCACCTCTCGAAACGCCTCCAGAACAGCTTACACGCATGCCGGCTCCCAACACGCCGCCTCCCCTCCCTACTGCGCACCGATTCATGAGGCGCCTAAAAAACCCAACCCTCACACCGTCTCCAGCACTGCTCCCACTGCTCACCTCTCGAAACGCCTCCAGAACAGCTTGCACGCATGCCGGCTCCCAACACGCCTCCCCTCCCTCCCGTACCCCTCCACCCTCCACCACTCCCCCCACTCCTCCCCACACTTCCTCCCTTCCATATCTGCCTGGTACACGGCCCCCTACATCCCCCATTGCCCCCATCGTAACCATCCGTCTCGTTGTTCCAATGCCCCCCATCCCCACATCCTCCCCAACCACAGCAGGATCTCTCCCCTCCCTCTTGCCACCACCCCTACCTCCACCGCTACCCCTCTGCCACCTCCCCTGGATCTGCCACGCCTCACCAGCAGCCACCACCCTCTCACCTCCTCTCCCTTTCCCCTGCCTCCTCCCCTTCGACTGCTTGTCCAACTCCTCATCCTGCTCCTTCTCCTCCTCTCTAACCCCAGACCCTGATTCCTGAAGTGGCATATGAGGTGACTCGAAACACCTCCCACTCATGGCCTCAATCGCAGCCCTGGCAGCAGCAGCAGCGTCATCCACTGCTCCCACCCGCAGATACGCATGGATCAGCGCCGCCCGCCACGATCCCGAACCTGACAGGCCCGGCACCGAGCCTGGTAAGCTGGCTCGGGAACTGGACCAGTGTGGTAACGCCGACGGGGACTCTGACCTGCTGCTCTTCCCTGCCAGGTGAGACGTTGACAGCTCGGAAATTCCCCGAGCCAGTACCTTCAGGTTCGGCAAGAGGCCCGGAAGCGCGCAGGCATGGATAAGCCGGATGTAATCCGAGACATGAAGAGAGAAGGAGGGAAAGCGAGTGGTTGAGATTGGGACGAGTGAGATAAGCGATCTAATCTCCTCTACCAGTTCCCTCTCCTCCTTCCCTTCCTCGCTCTCCCTCGCACGTTCACCCCTCCCTCCCCCACCTCTCACAACCCCATCTCCTCCACTCCCTTCCTCACAGCCTTCCCTTGGACTCCTGTCCAATCCCCGCACGCCTAGACCCCCCAACCCCTCCAGCAGCACTCTGACCACGCCCTCCCTGCCTTGCAATGACGCCACTTGCGCCACCCCCACCAGTGCACTCGCCACACCCACTCTTGCAATAAGTCCAGATGGATTCGCGCCCACTACCCATGCCACTGCATCTGCAAGCCCTCCTCTCTCCGCCACCACTCTCGCCACTTCCGCCACTGCTGCCCCCGCCGCTGAAGCTGCGGCTCCTGGTCCTGCTGGTTCACTTGGAGCCATGCTGCCGCTGCTGCCGCTGCTGCTGCTGCTGGTTTCACCTGCTTGCTGCAGCAGCAGGCGTGCTGTGGAGAGCGCTCTGGGTGTGCAGCAGGGGGCGAGGAGCATAAGAAGCAGGAGGAGGTGGGGCGTGGATGGGGACATGCGAGGGAACGGAATGACGGGGAGGGATGGGGAGGGAAAGGAGGAGGAAGAGAGGGATTGCTGCTGCTGCTGCTGCTGCTGCTGTTGCGGCTGTTGCTGCTGCTGCTGTTGCTGCATCAGCATGTGAGTTCTCTCTTGTTCCTGCCACCACCAGCGTTGCCAGCAGCAGCACCACCAAAGCAGGACCCTAGAAGCAACCTTCAAAGCTCCTTTCTCTTGCAAACCCCCCACCACCGCCGCCACCACCGATGCTGTCAGCCCTCGCTGCACGAGCCTCAGCTGCCGATCCACCGCCGCCGAGCCTCGCGTAGCCAGCAGGAGGTTCGGCGGGGGAGGCTCGGGAGGCGGGTCCCAGAGAAAAGCCTGCGAGCGATACTGATTTTGCTGCTGCTGCTGCCGCTCCTCCTTCCGTTGCTGCTGCTGCTGCTGCTGCTGCTGCTGCTGCTGCTGCTGCTGCTGCTGCTGCTGCTGCTGCTGCTGCTGCTGCTGCTGCTGCTGCTGCTGCTGCTGCTGCTGCTGCTGTCTGACTGGTGTTGCTTGCGTCCCTGCTGGCTGAGAGAATAGAAGGTTGGGATCTGGAGGGAAGAGCAGCAGAAGCAGTTGCTCCCAAGTACCCACAGGCCACCCTCGCATGCCCCCTAAAAACCTCCCGATCTCAACCCCCGTCACGTCAGCATAATCACCCACTTCCACCTTGCCGCCACTGCTGCTGCTTCTGCCGCTTTTGCTGGTACTTTTCCTACTGGTATCAGCACTAGTAGTATAGACATTCTCACCTGTACCCAAGCTCGTCTTATCCGAGCTCTCGACAAAAGAAGACGACCAATCAAGGCTCTCCATGTGTGCCAGCTCAGCAACCAGCTCCTCAACCACCAGGTACTCGCTCCTCGGCGAATGGCGGCCGGGCACGTGGCGCTCTAGCGGCCGCCCGAGGCGGAGGCGCTGCATGGTAGGGGGCAGGCGCGTGTCACGGCGTGAAAGGCGGCCAGGACGTTGGCTGGAAGTGCGGGGGAGGGGAAGCGGAGTGGGGCGGGAGAGGTGGGTCTCAGGGAAGGGCAGGCGCGGATTGGGAGAGTATTTGGATGGGCGATCATTGTCATGTGCGTTCAGTCCCGACCCAGGTCCAGGTGGGAGGGTATGTGGGTCCTGCGGAGAGGTGTCAAAACGCGGATTGGGAGAGAATTTGGATGGGAGGCCACGTGGGCCACGTGGGTTCGGTGCAGACCCAGGTTCAGGTGGGAGGGTATGTGGGTCCTGCTGAGACGTATCAAAACGCGGGTTGGGAGACCATTTAGGCGAGAGGGCTTGCGGGTTCCGTGCAAGTCTGGGTGACTCTTGAGTGGACTCGAAAGGATAAGGGGACCGTTTGGATGGGAGGCCACGTGGGTCACGTGGGCCACGTGGGCCACGTGGGTCATGTGGGCCCCGTGCAGGTGAATTCGGTGCACGTGTGCCTGCAGGTGCTGGAAAGACAGGATAGTCTTCCAATTCCCCCCTGTACCGTGGTGTGGGTGAGGGTGACCCTGGGTTTAGACTCCTTAACGCTGAATCTGACGGTCCAGTGCCCTGGTTGTGGAACCCTCGTGGCGGGTTGCTTTCGCCGGCAGGCACGGGGGGAGCACGGGGAAGTTCGGCGGCGGGTGTGCGTTGAGGGTGGCGGCGTGCGGGTCTCCTGTTTGGATAAAGTGGCCCTGTTGTTGCCCATGGTGCTGCTGGTGCTGCTGGTGCTGCTGCTGGTGCTGCTGCTGCTGCTCCTGGTGCTGCTGGTGGTGCTGCTGCTGCTGGTGCTTTTGCCGGTGGTGCTACTGGTGGTGGTGGTGCTGCTGCTGCTGTTGGCACTGGTGGTGACGGTGCTGGTGATGGTGGTGCTGCTGGTGGTGCTGCTGGTGGTGATAATGATGGCGATGCTGCTGCGTTTGGTCTTCTTTTGCCGGGGGAGTGCGACGGGTGTGCTTCGGCGCGCGGGAATGGAAACGCGCGGAGATTGGGGACGCGCGGAAGAAGTCGCGGAAACACGCGCGGAGGGCGGACACGAAGGGCGGGACTCGGGCTGGGATCGGGAGAAGGGGACAGGGTCGCGGGAAGGAATGCGCGCGCGCTTGCGCGTGAGCGTGCGAGATTTGCGCGCGATAATCTGGGATGTAGCAGGGGTACGGTCTGTAGAGAAACGAGTGAGCATGCCATGATGGATCGATCAGACAGTGCTCTAACGATCCTGGTGCTGCTCGCTACCCACCGTTCAAATGCTCACAACTCATGCCTTGTGGCTGATATGGCGGCAATCGCGCTCAGTCGAGATGCTTTTTGAGAAGTGCGTGCCTCCGTGACATGGTTGGGCAAAGCGAGTACAGTGAATGCTTTCCAGCAAAAAACATAGAGAGTTCTGTTCTAAAATTGTACACCTCTTTCTTCGAACAAACCACCATATTCGAGTGTCTTCTTAACGAAGGCATTCTTCGCTCTTTTGTGGTGTGCCATGGATGGATGGAATGGCATCCCCCACGCAAACTCCGTCCGTACGTATCATCTCCCCATCGCAACCGTACGGCAATGGCAAACTGTACCCATCGCAACCCACCCATGTGATAGTCTGCAACCCGCGCACAAGCAACATCTCTTCTCGTCGTTTTCGCCAACTGGTCTTCCCACCCGCACGAGGAGCATGCGAAGCAATTTTGCGATCCAATCCCGACCGTCCATGTCACGCCGGCCAAGATCATCTGACTACAGCGGTCGCTCTACCATAAAGTACACGTTTGTCTAACGCACGCTCTAAATATGTCTCTAAGAACCTCTCGCGGTTGATACCGGCGGTAGGAGATTACCTCTTTCAATGCCGCTCCCGCCGCTTCCCCTCACCTTCGTGCTCGTCCTTCTCTCGTGCGCTCCGCCGTTTTTTTCGCCGCGATTCGCGGCGGCGGAGGATCTTTTCGGCGGCGATACCGGCGTTCGCGAGCTCGACGCCGCCAGTCTCGCGAACGAAGTCCTCGCGCCGCTCCGCGCGCCGCCGCACTTAGCGCCGCTTCCCCCGCCGCTGCAGCCTCCGCTTCATCTGCAGCAGCGGGAGGCATTCGTGGTACGGCCGTCCCCGTTACAGTCAGAAAGGAAGGCGGAGGCGGAACAGGACGCGGAAGAGGGGGCGGAAGAGGAGGCGGAACTTTCAGGAGTACAGGGCGGGGGAAACGAGGGTGTCCGCCGGAGCGCAGCGGAGAGCGGAGATGGGGCGGTGGGAGACGCGTGGCGGGCGGGGATGCGGGGGAGCGGGGGGCGGAAGGCGGTGGGGGATTGGAGGAGAAGCGGCGGAAAGCGCGGTAGGGTGCTTGCAGGGCGGGTAGATGGAGGTGGGGGGGGAGATGAGAGGCGTGCAGTGGGGGGTGGCGGGGGGGGTGTGAAAGACGCAGGGGGGAAAGAGGGGGTAGAGGAAGGGGGGGAGGAAAGGGGGGAGGAAGGTGGGGAGGCTGGGGAAGAGGAAACGCGGGAAGAAGGGGAGGAGGAAGAGGAGGGACAAGAGGGCGAGAAAGAAGAGGAGGACGAGGGGGAAGGGGAAGCTGTGGAAACTGGGGAAGGGGAAGGAGAGGAAAGGGACAAACACGAGACAAGCGAGGAGGATCCGAGATTTGAGAGGGAACGTCTGAGTCAACTCAAGAGGGACGTTCCCTCAGTAGTACCAATGGCTGGCACTCTGGAGGCTTCTGAATCGACTCAAAAGTCACTTAAGAGAGACGTTCCCTCAGTACCAATGGCTGGTACTCTGGATGCTTCTGTGGTGACTCGGAAGGGGATTTTTGAGTCGACTCAAAAGTCGCCTCATCACAAGAGGGACGTTCCCTCAGTTGTACCAGTGGCTGGTACCCTGGAGGCTTCTGAGGTGACTCGGAAGGTACTGACTCCAAGTGGGAATACGATGCACAGGCAGGAGACGGATGGAGGAGGGATGGAGGAAGGGGGAGCGAGGGAATCTTTTCAGCTGGCTGCTGCATTTGCGTCCATCCATAAAGGATTCCTTACCACTCCCTCCTCTTTTTCCTCCTCTTTTTCCTCCTCCTCCTCCTCCTCCTCCTCCTCCTCCTCCTCCTCCTCCTCCTCCTCTTCCTCCTCCTCCTCCTCCTCCTCCTCCTCCTCCTCCTCCTCCTCCTCCTCCTCCTCCTCCTCCTCCTCCTCCTCCTCTCCCTCACTCCCACCACCCACTGCCACACCCCCTCCCCCAGTGCCTATCTGGCTAGTGGCATGGTACCATCCCCTGTGCCACCACTGCAGGGCGCTCAGGCCGCACATCATAGCTGCAGCTGCTGCGGTCGCACACACGGGGGGGGTGCACGTCGGAGCAGTCAACTGCGAGAAGCACTAGTATGCCCTTGATTCGGCCTTCTCTTCAGCCTCCTATTCAGAGAGAATTCAACCCTTTATCTACGAAGGCCTTTATTCTCTTTTTTACACCGTGTATGTGCATGACATGCATTCACGTTCTTGCTTCCTACCGCCACCCACCAGCCCTTCTCCCCCCGTGCCGCTTGCTACCCTCCCCCCAACCCGCCATATGATCTTCCTTTTCCGCGTGCATTGAGGTGATGTGTGAGGCGCCTCATGAATCACCACAAGAGGCGCCTCAAAACCTTTCTCCCCGTTGCCGCTTGCTACCCTCTCCCTGATCCGCCATGTAATTTTCCTTTTTCATTGAGCCCAAAGTTCCAGGTCTATTCAGATTTCCTCTATTCTACAGGAGTTTTAGGCCTCACTTCCAACTCCTGTACTTCCAACTCCTTGCTTACTCCCGACCTCACTCCCCTCTCGCCCTATCAGCACTCCCTTCCCACTCCCCTCCCTGCTACCCCCCCACCACGCAGCATCCTGGCAGCGCAATACGGCATCGTCTCCTTCCCAACGCTCCACCTCTTCAGTCCCTCACACACGGACCCGCCTCTCCTCTACCACGGCTTCCGCTCCTCCCACTCCATCACCGCAGCCCTCTCCGCGTTTGCCGCCTCCAACGGCACTCGCCTGCCCGTCACCCCCTCCTCGCTCCTCTTCCGCACAGCCCACGAGCTCCAGATGATGCGCGCACGCCCGTCCGCCAAGGCCCCGTTTCTCCTCTCGCTCCTCGCTCTCTCTGTTCTCTCCCTCCTGCTCTTGCTCTCCAAGGCCCCTGTGCCGCACTCGCCTCTCCCCTCCCCCGGCCCAGGCAGTAGCACGGGAGGAGCAGCTGAATCCGGTGGTTTATTCAGGATGGTTTCGCTGCCCAGGTGGCTGCGGCGGGGCCAGGTGCTTTCTCAGGTGGGAGGGAGGAGACATGGTGGAACAGTGGGAGGAGTGGGTGGAGGGGAGGGAGGGTTGGAGGGGAGAGCGGAGGCGGTGATGGTGAGAGGTCAAGGTGCTGACCGGGTGGGAGGGCGAGAGATTGTGGGAGGAGGAGAGATTGTGGGGCGAGGAGGTGACAGCAGACGAGTTGTGCTTGTTAGACGATAAGAGGTGCGGGGTGTGCTGGGTGTGTGAGGGGCCTGTCTGCCTGGTTCTGCTGGGATGGGAAGGATGGGGAATGCTGTGTACACATGTAAGTGTATAGGTTTGTGAATGCATACCGGTGTGTAGAAAGAGGAAGAGAGGGAGGATGGGAGATACGAGAGATGAGAATGTGGGATAAAACGATTGGTTGGGGGGAGGACGAGGAGAGAGTCAGCTCGGTGAGGGCAGTGAGCTCAGTGAGGGCAGTGAGGACAGTGAGGGCAGCGAGGGCAGTGAGGGGAGTGAGTGAGGGGAGGGAAAAGCAGAGGAAAAGGGGGTGGGGATGGGATGGTTGTGATGTGGCGTCCCGAAGGTGAGACCAAGGATGGTTGTGGCGTCCCGAAGGTTAGACCACTGGGGCTTGGAGTTGAAGCAGGAGGGAGAGGAGGGGGTCGGTGAAAATATCAACAGACAGACGTTTTCTTCATTGTGGAAAAGACCCATTACAAAATGATACACTATTCATTGCGGACATCTCTGACTGAACTGAAACCATATCAATGAGTATTAGGAAAGTCTGGAATCTATGGGACCGCAATGCGCCTAACTCGCACCAAGTTTTTGAATATGCTCGACATGGGCATCGCGATCGCAACCCTCTGGATATCCCACTCGCCGCTATGATGAGACCCACAGGTAGTTTATTTGGAATAGGCGGGTTTCAAGCAGGCCCCCATATTCATTCTGGGCGGGCTGATCCACCAGCCCGGTGAAGTCGCTTTTTGACAATTTACTTAGATGTCAGGTGATGCAGCACCGTCTAACAATTCTATGGTAATGAAGAGCCCGCAACAGCCAATGTACAAGTGAAGTCTACTTCTAATGTGTAAATGAACTAGTGTACTGTCAAATGGATCACTAGCGGAGACGTTGGTGGTGGTGACGTGGGCGCGACTGAAGTTTTTAATGCTTACGTCTACTTGCGACTGGGTTTCGGAATGCTCACCAGCTATTCCATTTCGCAGCGAACTACCCTGCAAGAAAGTTTGTATCCCGGGAATGTACCCCCAGATCGGACATTTAAAGGGTAAGAAATTATCGCGAACAGGGTGTACCACACCACACGCACCTCCCCCAAACGAAACGCGTATGACATTGCTGACACGACAGTGTGCAAGGTTTTGCGCTATGCTTTGTTTGTTGAAGTTGTTGCCCTCTGGCTCTTACATTCCAATCTGCTGAAATACAGTAAACAGGTCTCTCACGCCATTCCTTCTCCAATAGCATTTGTCCAGCCTGGACTTTGAGGATGTAGACCTGGCTGAGACTCGGTGCCTGCAAAAAGATATCAAATTTATGCTTAGGCTCGATCTCTTCACGGGTTTAGTCGCAAAAACATTTGCGACTCCCAAGAATTTTCTCAACAACCATCTCCTTGACACCGACAACGTCGTTGAAAACCGTCGACGAAAACAAAGCGCATGTTTCGCTCACTTCCCCACTTGTGACCATGGATGGGCAGTGGGCACAGCACACTGCTTCAGCGGAGGAAACGCGTGAGCAATGAGCATGCTCCACAAGCTACCTATACTTAGGGTCTGGAGCAGGGCTGTCGATATCCCTGGGGGCAGAACTTGAGGCCCCCAGCTGCTGAGATTCTGACCCTGATTTTCAGGGAGGTGACCGAATTTTCGCCCTTAACGGTCACGGGTGCAGGCCGAAGTGTACCTTGAAATCCGGGCTCCAATGTGTTGTGTACTTAACTAACCTAAACAGCATCATAGACAAGAAAATCACATACTTCTCACTACTAACTACTCCAGTCAACCTGTATGTCACAACTTCCAACTACAACTACAGTTGCACTACCTACTGTATTTCTACTCATCTCCTGACTTCGACACTACACAAACACTAGATTGGATAAAATCGAGTGAAACATCCTTACCTGTAGCCCTATTGTGCAACTTTCATGGAGAGGGGGGGTAGGGGAGGGGGGTGTTAGGCAGGATTTTAGGGGGTGGTCTGCGGAACCGAAAGTAGAACTTTGATTCAGGTGACGGCCCAGATTGAGCACTTAACGCGTCCGGGGAAGGGCCAAACGATGCCCTTAACTAGCATGGGTGCCAGTCAAATAAAACCCTTAAAATGGTCGAGATGCGCCAAACATAGCCTGGAATGTTCAGGGCATTAAGGGCAAATGCCCTTGAATCGACAGCCCTGGTCTGGAGTCTGGACAAGCGGTCCTATGGCACATCTTTCCACAACACGGAACTTTTCGTTGATCTGCCCAACCTCATTTCCCAGCCCCAGCTCATCATCTGCACGACACATTTCTCTTCCTGTTTCCTCGCAACGCAAACTACAGTTCAGCGAGGATGGTGGGAGAATGAAGAACGGGTAGTTGAGGCCTATTTTCCGTTACAACACAAACCCACCCGCGCTCCACAGAGGAATCGTGCCTGTGTGCACCAGGTTCAGTTGACACTGTTTGCAAGAAATGCATTGCACCGCAAGCAATCCCCGAGCATCGAATCGCGAATCCCGAATCGCGACGCAACCAGACACCTCCCCAAATCCAACCCGGCTAGAAGAATTCGAGCATACTAAAGGTCGCAAATTTCTTCAGGCAAACCATTCTACATCCACAGGAGCTAGTAGTACCATCATACTCCCTCGCTTACTGAGTCATTTATCACAACCCCCGACACACGCAATTCTGCATACGCGATTCAGCATTCCACCTGTCCTCTCCTCTGGCAATCCCTTACCGAGAGTCTCGAGAATGGCTCCACGCCTTTCCAGTCTTCCTTTATTTCTAGTCATTATCTCCATGATCGCTCTCTCGACAACCCCAGCCCTCGCGGCGCGTCACCGAGCAGCTCCCACCGAGACATTGCTGCAGAAGGCTGTCAAAGCGCGAGCTCTCGCCGACAAAGCCGCCGCAGCAGCCACAGAGGCCGAGGCGATCGCGGAGCAGCGCAGACAAGACGAAGCCGCGGCGCTCGCCGACCTCAACGCCGCCATAGCCGCCGCGGACGCCGCCTCCGCCGCGCTCACCGCCGCGAGAACCGGCGCGACGTCCGCGGCCGCGGCGAAGGGAAACGCGAAGAAATCTCTCGACGCCGCGAAAAAGCAGCTCGACGAAATGAAGAAAGCGCGCGAAGTGAAGTCGAAGAACGTTGACAAGAAAAAAGCTGACGTGAAAACCGCAGAGGCGAAGGTCAAAGCGGCGCAGCAGAAGCTAGACAAAGTCAACGCGGAGAAAACCAAGCAGGAGAAGATCGCGGCGGACGCGAAAGCAGCGAGCGACGCGGCGGAGCAGGAGGCGAAGAAGAAGAAGGGCGACAAGGCGTTGGCGAACAAGGCGAAGAAAGCCGGCGACGACGCGAAGAAAGCCAAGGAGCAGGCCGACGCGCTCGCGAAGGAGGCGCTCGCGGCGGAGCAGGTGCTAGCGGCGGCGGAGGACGCGGCGGAGAAGGAGCAGGACGAGGCGAGCGCGGCGGAGAGCGCCAGCGCGCCGTCGGACGCGGAGCTGGAGAAGGAGGACGAGGTGGCGGAGGCGGCGGAAGACGCACAAGAGGCGGAGGCGGCACAGAAGGCGGCGGAGGTCAGCGCGAAGGACGCGGAGAAGGCGCTCAAGCGCGCGCTCGTGGCGGTGAAGCAGGCGCGCGCGGCGTGGAAGAACAAGAACGCGCTGCGACTGGCCGCGGAGAAGAAGGCGGCGCAGAAGGCGGCGATCGCGGCTGCGTTCGACGCCAAGGCGGACGCGGCGGAACGCGCTGCTGGCATTGTCGCCCCTCCCTCCGCGCCCGCATCCCAACCTGCGCCTGGCTCGCACCCCGCGCCTGGCTCGCACCCCGCGCCTGGCTCTAATCCCGCGCCTGGATCTAATCCCGCGCCTGGCTCTAATCCCGCGCCTGGCTCGAAACCCGCGCCTGGCTCTAATCCTGCGCCTGGCTCTAATCCCGCACCTGGCTCTCAAGCCGCACCTGGCTCTCAAGCCGCACCTGGCTCAAACCCTGCACCTGGCTCGCACCCTGCACCTGGTTCGCAGCCCGCACCTGGTTCCACACCTGCTTAGGATTCGCACCCTGCGCCCAGTTCTACTGCTTCGCCCTTGAGAACTTCTCGTGCCGAGTAGGAAGGTTGTATATATGTGAGTGTTCATGAGACACCGCTATGCTGTAAGGTGAATATAATGTATGCCCAAGTTACAACGCAATTTTGACCTCAGGGGACATTCCTGTAGGGACACAAGTGTCTCAATCACTTGGTGACAAACGAAAACGACATAAAATGTATTGTGTCCGAAACAAGAGTCGACTTTCAGCGACCAGTGCTGAATTTTTAATTGGCCAGCATGAAACGCGGTGACGTCGCTAATGAATTGTGAATCGACCGGTCATTGTTATCAAACAGCACGCTGTCAAAATGAGGAATGATGATGCCATTGATGTTGGTTGGGGTACATATAACAAACCCTAACTTCTGTACCCCCTAAGACAAACCTCACTACAAGCTACAACATTTGACACACCCCCATAGCCTAAGTGAGGGGTGTCTAGCAAAATAAAAAAAAGAGTACGGTCACAAGACCAGTCCAAAAGAAAACAAAGCTCAGGGTGGATCACAACGTCACCACACTCTCTGAGCACAAGCAACAGTGGCCACAAGGCCAGTCCAAGAGATCACAAGTATATATAGCAAGAGTACAGACGAAGCAAGCAATAAACTCAAGCCTACACATGACTAGAACCTGTGTCAACAAGGCCTAACTGCACACAACACCTCTGGTGGTCACGAGGCGGAAGCGCCTTGGTGAAGATGTCTGCAGTGTTGGCCTCGGACTCCACAAACTCGAAGCGAGCCTGTCCACGTCTCTGCAACTCTCGCAGAAGAAAGTACCTGACGTGAATGTGCTTCACTCTGCTCTCCAGTCGCGGCTCACGACAGAGGAGGATCGACGCCTTGTTGTCAGTGAACAAGGTCGGTGCAGAGTTCGGCCGCTCACCAAGGTCGGCGAGCAAGAAGGTCAACCAACGCAACTCCTGTGCCGCCATGGCACCAGCGTAAATCTCAGCCTCAGCTGTAGAGGTCGAGACAGAAGAGGAGCGCGTGGAACGCCAGGAAACAGCTCCAGAACCCAGACTGAAACAGTACCCCTGAGTAGACCTGTGAGTCTCAGCGTCGTCAGCGTAAGAGGAGTCACAGTGACTAGTGAGTACGACAGACTGCTGCCCTCCAAGAACTAGCCCCACGCCTGATGTAGTCGCTAGGTACTTCGCCACCCTCACAGCTGCCGTCCAGTGAACAGGACGGTGTCTCCCTGGTGCAACAAAGCGCGCAAGGATGCTGAGAGGGAAGGCGAGGTCCGGGCGAGTACAAGTCATCAGGTACATGAGGCAACCCACAAGCTCTGCGTAGGGACCACTAGGCTCAAACGGCTCGTCAGGAAAGGGACCAGTGAGTCTGTGGTCAACAGCGAGAGGTGTGCGCTGTACGGTGGAGTGCTGAAGCCCGAACCGCTGAAGGACCTGCTGCACCATGTGTGACTGTGAGAGTGTAATGGTGCGAGCGGCTCTGTCCCTGGTGATCTGCAGGCCAAGGTAGTGGCGCAGCTCACCAAGATCAGTGCACGTGTGTCTCTTCTGCAGTTCGGACTTCACGTCTGCCAAAGCAACCCTGTCCGGAGTGGCGAAAACGAGGTCGTCGACGTAAACCAGAACAAAGAACGGTGTGGAGCCACGACGAACGAACAGCGACGGGTCGGCAGAAGACGGCTGGAACCCAAGGTCAGAGAGGGTAGAACGCAGAGTGTCGTGCCACTCACGAGGGGCCTGGCGAAGACCGTAAACAGGTCGCCTCAGCCTCCACTGGGTCCCAGGAGGGAAGGTGCCAGTGAAGGCCGAGGGACGACGCAACCAGACCTCCTCGTGTAGGCTGCCCTGAAGGAAAGCAGTGGAGAAGTCGAGAGAGTGTAACTCGTAGTCTCTCTGTGCTGCTACGTGTAGTAACACCCGAAGAGTGGTCATCTTCGGGGTAGGTGCGAAGGTCTGAAAGAAGTCAACTCCCTCGCGCTGACTGAAACCTCTAGCCACGTAGCGCGCCTTGAAGACCGGGGGAGATCCCGGTGGCCGCTTCACCCTGTAGATCCACATGCCGTCGACTACGTTCGCCCCAGGGGGGGGAACCTCATCGACGTAGGTGCCTGTGGATCTGTAGGAGGCCATCTCTGCGTCCATGGCAGCTCTCCACTGAGAGGCCCAAGGCCCTGACACTGCCTCAGCGTAAGTGCGAGGAGTCGGAATGTCAAGGGCGTCGGGGTCACCCTCAGGGGCGAGGAGCATGGCACAGAGATGAGGGGAAGCGGCCGCCAGGAACTCTAGCTCAAACTGCCTGTCCTCTAGTGCGTCACAGCCAAGGGCAGACACACCCCCGACGGCCAGAGGACTGGTAGGAGGAGCAGCCACAAGTGTGGTGGCGTAGTCAAGGCGGCGGGTAGAGGCAAAGTCAGTAACTGCGGCAGTAAGAGCGGACACAGAGGACACAGAGGCACGAGGGTGAGTAACAAGAGAGGCGAGAACACGAGAGAGAACAGGACGGTACGTGCGGTAGTAGTCAGTGACAGGAGTAGGGAGCGACACAGAGAGGGCCGACTCAGGAGGAGACGGAAGCACAGACTGAGACGGACGAGGTGGACTAGAAAGAAGGAAGGCAGTACGAAGGTCAGTGAAGGGAACAGGAGACGAGGGACGAGCACGAGGGGAGCGACGAGTAGCCCAAGAACGAGACGGAGGAGGAGAGGACAAAGGCGGAGAACTGGGGAAAACAGCGGGGGAGGAGTCAGGAGGAGGAAACGTGGGACCGTAGACAGGAGGAGAGGCGGAGGAGGGAGGAGAAGGGGAGGGGAGACCAAGGATCCGAAGACCCGAGACAGGAGGAGGAAGTGGCTGCTGCTGCTGCGGCTGCGACTGCTGCTGCTGCGGAAGCGGCTGCTGCTGGGACTGCTGCTCCTGCGGGTCCAGCTGCTGCTGCTGCTGCTGCTGCTCCTGCGGCTCCAGCTGCTGCTGCTGCTGCTCCTCCAGCCGCTGTAACTCCCTCTCCTCTCTCTCCAACGCCAGCTGCTCGTCACGGGCACGGCGAACACGAGCCTGGTGCCTAGTCGGGTAGGGGTGGGGGGGCGGAGTAGTGTCCGAAGCAGCGGTAGCTCCAGAGTCCACCCCCGAAGAACCAAGCGCACCACCCCCAGAGGCAGCACTAACACCAGCTCCAGACCCAGGCTCACCAGAACCCGAAGGAGGCGCACTCTCACCCCCAGTGTCCGCGCGACCAGCACCAGCTCCCGGACGACAAGAGTCCTCTGCACCCACCGGGTCAGCTCCAACTCCAGAACCAGAAACTCCAGCTCCAACTCCAGCTCCAACCCCAGCACCCCCAGAACCAGAAACTCCAGTGCCAACTCCAGCTCCAACTCCAGCTCCAACTCCACCACCCCCAGAACCAGAAACCGGTACAGGAACAGGCGCAGCACCAACCTCTCGAGAGCTAGCACCTGCGGCACGCTGCGAGGAGGACTGTGGGGAGGGAGGCTATACCGGAGAGGCTACCGAAGGAGGAGGGGTAGCCTGAGACACACCCGACGGGGCTGGACCAGGGGGGGGAGGCTGTACCGGGGGAACAGGAGGGGGAGCAGCAGTCAGGAAGAGGGGGGGAGGAGGAACCTGGAGACCTCGACTGGGGTACCTGACGTAGTACGGAGTGGACTCCTCGAAACGGACGTCACGGGAGTCAAAGAACCGGTGAGAGGGAGAGTGGTAAAAGGTGAAGTCAGAGGAGTCCTCAGGGAAACCAAGGAAGACACAAGGGACGGCACGAGGCGAAAGCTTGTCCGCGGAGGTGTCGCGGACAAGAGCCAAGCACCCCCAGACACGAAACCGCGACGCAACACCAGGGGACCCTGTCCAAAGACTGGTCGGTGAAACCTCTGGTCGAGAGACACGTGGCCAGAGGTTCAGCTGGTGCGCGGCGTACCTGACCGCGTAGGGCCACAGAAAATGGGGGGCACAGGCGTGAGTCAGGGAGGTGCGGGCGATCTCCATGACCAGGCCTATGCGGCGCTCAGCAACCCCATTCTGCTGTGGGGACTCTGGAAGCGTCCAGGACTGACGAATGCCCTGCTCGCGACAGAATCCAGCGAGAATGCCGGAGCGAAACTCACCCCCACGGTCGGAGTGGAGGCAGCTGACACGACGACCACGAGTGTCCTCGGTGGTGAGCAACCACCTGATCAGCGTAGAAGTCACCTCAGACTTCTTCGCCAGAGGGAACACTGTGGTGTAGCGGGAGAAGTCGTCAACGACCACCAGAAAGTAGCGCTCACGCTCAGGGCCTAGACGAGGGGCGGGGCCCCAGACGTCCAAGTGAAGCGTCTCAAAAGGCTCGGTGGCCGGACGAAGGGAGGAGGAGTGAGGGGCGGCGCGCAGCCGACCCTCGACGCAGGGACCACACGGCGGCGCAAGCGAAGGCGGCAGCGACGGCAAGACACGTGGGAGGCCTAGGACAAGACGCTGACTAGACATAGCGCGCAGACGAGGAAGGGACGGGTGCCCCATCCGGTGGTGCCACAGAACGGTGGGGTGGGCAAGCGACCGGCAGGAGCACGACGCAGCGACTGGAGCAGACGTAGGAACCTGACACGACACAGACACCTGGGGGGACGAAGCAACCTGGTGAGACGCGGGGACCCGAACGGGGGGGGGAACCGGGGGCAGTGGCAGTAGGGGCGGCTGCTTGTGCGACCGCTGGTGCAGCTGCTGCTGCTGCTGCTGCTGCGGCTGCGGCTCCTGCTGCTGCTGCGGCTGCTGCTGCGGCGCACGCGGGCCAGTGTGAAGAGTGTAGAGACCTGAGCCCGGCTCAGCAGTAAAGGTAGCAAGAGGCTGGTAAGAGTCTCCGTCAACACACACCGCAGTCTCTCCAGAAGGCTCAAACCACACACCCACGTGCTGACTCACGAGGGGTCGCACGCCCACCAAGTTCCGGGAGAACGAGGGGACGTGAAACCCAGTGAGAGACCCGGAGGGAGCAGCAGGACACGGTAAAGTGGTAGTGTGACGTGCAGTGACTGGTCCCGTAGTGGGATCAGCCAAAGCCACAGAAACAGGCGCAGGAAGTGGTGTAAGTGTCGTGCTGTCCCGGAAGAAGCAGTGTGAGGCTCCAGAGTCCAGCGTGAACGACAGCGAAGCGTCCTCTGAGGTAGTCGCTGGTCTAGAGTCTACACAAGAACCTACACTAGCAACAGGCAACTGAGCAAGACTAGCACCTAAGCTAACAACACCAGAGTAACAGAGTCAGAAACACTAGAGTCAACAACAGCATACATAGCATGAGGAGCACCAATCAGATCAACTAACTGCTCAGCAGACATGCCCCACAGAGCGGAGCCGTAGCGCTGAACCAGAGGAAGCCAGTCAAGAGCAGGACCGCCAACCCCGTAGGCCAACCGGACCGTGTCAGTGAGCTGAGCAAAGCACTGACCAGGGGGGTGAAAGCGGCCACAAGGGTGGCCCCGACGAGGACCTGTCAGAACCTGATAGGTGCAGGGAGGGTAAGAAGCACCGCGCTGGGGCTGACGCAGCCCCGACCCCGGAGCCAGCTGCTGACGCTGCTGCTGCTGAGGCTGGCGGGAGGAAAGGGGCTGCTGCTGCTGCTGCTGAAGGTGCTGCTGACGCTGAGCCTGGTACCACGCCGCTGCTCCACCTAGCGGGGTCGGCAGTACAGGAGGCGACTGACGAGCTCGGGGGTCGCCGCCACCAGCAGGCGCAGTGGAGTCACCAGCCGCTGCACGAGGGGTCTCTCCAGACGCTGCACTCCCACCACCGCCAGTCGCAACAGCACCCCCACTACCTCCGCTACCTCCACCTCCACCTCCACCAGAACTACCTTTCTTGCCCCCCTTGCCGCGGGACCGCGACGCAGTCGTAACAGCAGCCGCAGTCGCGTCAGTAGCGGCAGTGGCGAGAGAGGCAGTGAAGGTGGGTAACTGCGGGACTGTGCACCCGTGGAAGAGTGGGGGGGACACAGTACCAGAGGCGGCAGCTACCAAGCGAAGGTTGCTCTCGACGTCCTTGAGTGCAGACTCAAGGACCTCGATAGTCAGCTCACTAGGGTGCTTCAGCAGAAGCGCGTCACGAACGGAGGCTAGGCGGTCAGGGAGGCTAGTGGCGATGAAATAGACAGTAATCGCCATGGGGGGAGGAAGCAGTGCAAGCTGTGCCTCAGTGCAAGCAGCGCGGTAACTAGCGTCGAGCGAGCGGAGGTGAGCGATCAAGTCAGCAGAGCGCTCAAACGAGGCGAGATCAGGAAACAGGAACGGGAGGAAAAGACGGCCAAGAGAGACAGTAGCGGGAGTAGAGTAGCGGGCCTTAATCGCAGTGAGGTACGCAGCAGCGGTGCGAACCTGAGTAAAGTGGACCTCCTCTGACTCAGGGAGGAGGCTGCTGAGTGCGAGGCAGGCCGCAGCGTCACGCGACGTCCAAGCCGTCCGGTCAGCGCGCTGACGGGCAAAGCGAGCCGTAGCAGCGTCGTCAGGGGCAGAGCCTTAAGCTGTAGGCTCGGGGGGCTCGGGGAGGTCACCAGTAGCGTGCGACCAGAGGGTCTCGCCCCCCTGGACCTGACTCTCTAACAGACGGCGAGCGCGAAGAAGCCAGACGGAAAAGTCAAGTGGTCTACCGTCAGCGTCGAAACGAAGAACTCGCGGAGTCGCCATAGTGAGAACTAACGCGAACGAACAGGCGAGTAACAACCGGGGAGAAGAGGCAAATTAGGGTTCAGGTGGGAAGGGGACTCAGTCGCAGCGGAAGAGCGGGCTAGGGCGTAGGGTAGGGCGACGGGCTAGGGCGTAGGGTAGGGCGACGGGCCAGGGCGTAGGGTAGGGCGACGGGCCAGGACGTAGGGTAGGGCGACGGGCCAGGGCGTAGGGTAGGGCGACGGGCCAGGGCGTAGGGTAGGGCGACGGGCCAGGGCGTAGGGTAGGGCGACGGGCCAGGGCGTATGGACGGGACAGGGCGACGCGACGGGGCAGGGCGGCGCGATGGGGCAGGGTGACGGGACGGGGCAGGGCGACGCGACGGGGCAGGGCAACGCGACGGGGCAGGGTGACGGGACGGGGCAGGGCGACGCGACGGGGCAGGGCGACGGGACGGGGCAGGGCGACGCGACGGGACAGGGCGACGGGACGGGGGGGAAAGGGCGGGCACGACGTGATGGGGGGAACGGGCGCGACGCGACGGGGGGAAAGAGCGCTAGGCGACGGGGGGAAAGGGCGCGACACGACGGGGGGGGGGGGGGGGGGGGGGGGGGGGGGGAAAGGGCGCTAGGCGACGGGGAGAAAGGGCGCTAAGCGACGGGGGAGAGGGCGCTAGGCTCGGTACTAGGCGCGGTAACAACGGAACCGGTACGAACGAGAGGTAGGATCAGGCTCAGGAGGGACGAACGGAGAACGGAGGAACGGGATCCCACAGGATCCTAACCTAGCTGATACCATGTCAAAATGAGGAATGATGATGCCATTGATGTTGGTTGGGGTACATATAACAAACCCTAACTTCTGTACCCCCTAAGACAAACCTCACTACAGGCTACAACATTTGACACACGCGACTCGAAATGCTTGACATGACCACATCCACATGCACCTGAACACCCGACGATGCCAATTTCGCGAAAGCAAAAATCCCGCAAATCGAAACCACAGCCCTGCCGTTCGGTTGAAAAAACGAGTGTATGGTCATGTGTGTCACCCAATCAAATGCGCACAACTGTACATTTCGCCTGGTCGCCCAGTGTCGCGATACATACATTTTTTTGTGACGCGAGGTTGGCAAAATGCTTCGACGCGACTCGGGAAAAAGAGCATCGGGACATTTGCGTCCCCACAGGAATGGTCCCTCAGTGTGTGAGTCAAGAGCAAGGCTCGGTGCTTCACTGAAGGGATCAAGGTCCCAGACTGACTCATCTTGGAGGTTGGAGTCAGCAGCGTGGCAACTTCAAGAAGGAACAAGAGGTATGGCATGACATGGCATGGCATGGTACGGCATCATATGGGAAGACCAGGAGCAGCCAGACTGTGCCTGTGATTTGGCTGCCATGTGGACAGAGAAGAGGGAAGGTGTGGGCAGAATGGAGAGGTGGAGCAAGGGACGGCAGGGAAGGATAGGCATTGAATGGAAGAATTCTTAGTTACTACCGTAGTATTATGCGGCTGTAGTATGGTATGATGAAAACGGATACATACAGACTGACACTCTAGGCTGGTGTGTTGAAGCGTAAGGAGGAGAATGGGGCGAAAGAGTGGGTGGTGCAGGGGAGGGAAGTGAATGGAATTGCAATCAGTGGGTTTAAAATTCACTGGATTAAATTCATGGTGTGGAGAAAAAAAAGTTTTTGTGACGAGCTGAACAGAACCGATCCCAAAATCACGTTCAGCTTTGAAGAGCATACAGGCGAGGCTTCAAATAGGAAGGGCGTGGGCCGTCAATCTATGCCGGTGATTTGCCTGCCAGGTGAAAGGAGAGGAAGGAAGGAGAAAGAGCGGGGAGAGAGGAGAAACGGGAAATGAGACAGGCATCATGTAAGAACCACGGGGAAGGTGGGAAATGGGGCAAAAGGAGGCAGTACAGAGGGAGATAGTGGGAGAGGTGGGGTAATGGGAAGGTGGGGAATGGGGGAGGTGGGGCATAGGGGAGGTGCGACATGGGGGAGGTGAATGGAGAAGCACAGTTGAAAGGGTGTGACAGTGGTGCTGCCGTCCGTATGTATGTACCTCTTCATTGGCCCCTGCTGCCATCTCCACTAGTGATGACTCCCTTGCCAACATGCTGCCAAGCCATGTATGGTTGATGGCATGCATGCACATGCACATGCACATACAAGCACATGCACATGTGCATACACAACACATCCACATGCAAACAGTATATGCACACATAGACACAGGTAGGCACACATGCACACATGCCCAAAACATACACAGCATGCACAGAGCACACGACAAGCACAAGGGAGAGCGGCAAGTAAGGAGGTATATACGAGCAGGGCCGACAGCAAAGCAGAAACAAACACCACTGTTGGTTGCGTGTGCAAGCAGAAACATACATTTCCGCCCTGCTCTCCTAACGACCCATACAGAACTTCAGGTGGCAAACAGAGCAGTTGGATCCGCGACTGTGAACGGAAACGGCTAGGTAGACTCGTTTCGGGTACTCGACATGAAGGGCGGCATGAGAAGGAGCTGGAAGACCGCATCCAGCAGAAGAGGGGACGTGGATTACTGCGCATCTCACAGACTGCAGGACTGCAAGCAGCATCTGCTGCATGCACTGCGGTTTTAACAGCAGTGCGTGCAGTGCAACACAAAACAGTGCATGCAGGCAGGCACAAAAAACAGGACGTACGATCTGGGAGAAAGCGAGTGATACGCCTGTGACGACCCGTTGACATGAGCCTTGTTTTGAGGCGCCTCAAATTTTAAGGCGCCTCAAAAACAGTGCATGCGTGCATGCAGGCACAGAAACAGGACGTACGATCTGGGAGAAAGGGAGTGATACGCCTGTGACCCATTGACATGAGCCTTGCTCCCCCCCACCCGCCCGTCGCCCCCCTCCCAGTCCTCCGCATCGCTGTCGTTGTCCTTGTGCCGTGGCGCCTTGGGTGGCATGGCTGAGAAGAACTGTGAAAAGAGGAGGGGGGAGGGGGACGGGGAGGGGGACAGGAGGTTGTGACTCGTGAGGAGCCCAGTCCTCCGCATCGCTGTCGTTGTCGTTGTGCCGTGGCGCCTTGGGTGACATGGCTGAGAAGAACTGCGAGAGGGGGAGGGAGGGTGGGACGGGGAGGGAAGGGGAGGGAAGGCGAGGGAAGGCGAGGGAAGGCGAGGGAAGGCGAGGGAAGGCGAGGGAAGGCGAGGGAAGGCGAGGGAAGGCGAGGGAAGGCGAGGGAAGGCGAGGGAAGGCGAGGGAAGGGGAGGGAAGGGGAGGGAAGGCGAGGGAAGGCGAGGGAAGGGGAGGGAAGGGGAGGGAAGGCGAGGGAAGGGGAGGGAAGGCGAGGGAAGGGGAGGGAAGGCGAGGTCGAGTTGTGTGGAGCCTCAAAGGTAAACTCACAGTCGTTGTCCTTGTGCTACCGTGCTGCCTTGGGGAGGAACTGTGAATGGGGAGGGAGAGGCAGGTGGGGGGGAAGGGGAGGAAAGATGAGGGAATGGAATGGGGGGAAGGCAGAAGGTTGTGAGGAGCGTTGAGTCTAAAATCACTGCCACTGTCCCTCCGCTGCCATGAGGGGCGGGTGGGAGGGAGAAGGAGGGAGGGCGAGGAAAAGAAAAGGACAACAGACACACCGAGGTCGAAGTTGAGAGAGAGATAGAGAGAGAGGGTGTGTGTGACTGAAGAGAATGCAATGAATTGAGAACCTAGAGGCCAAAAGGCACTGGGGACTTAGTGCATGGAGATGAGGTGACTTAGTGCATGGAGATGAGGGGACTTGGTGCATGGAGAAGAGGTGACTTAGTGCATGGAGAAGAGGTGACTTAGTGCATGGAGATGAGGTGACTTAGTGCATGGAGATGAGGAAGGGAAGACGGAGACGCCCTGGGCGATGCAAAGTTGATGGAGAGGGTGTGGGCCGCCAAAGAGCAAGGAGAGGCAGACGCAATGCCTTTTGCGCCCCTAGGCGAATTCACACAAGTGTAGTTGTGGATGCAATGCAATGCTATGCAATGCAATGCCATGCAATGCAATGCAACGCAATGCAATGCAATGAGTGCGCACCTGGCGCATGGAGATGAGGACCATGGAGACCCCCCCAGGGTGAAGCAAAGTTGATGGAGAGCGTGTGGCCGAAAAGTGGCCAGAGAGCAAGGCAGACGCAATGACGTTTGACTCAAACTCAGAGGTAGGTAAAAGCGCACCTGGTGCATGGAGATAAACGACGACAGATATGCCCAGGGAGCGCGGTCGTGACCGAGGAGCAAGGCAGACGCAATGACGTTTGAGCAGGGCCTGACTCAAGGGACGAAAGGCACCTGGTGCATGGAGATGAGGACGACAGACACCCCCAGGGCGAAGTTGATGGAGAGCGTGTGGCCGAAGAGAATGGCGGACGCAATGCCTGTGAAGATGGTGGCGATGGTGGATGAATACTTCTTCAGTATCGTGTCTGGGTTGGCCAAGGATGGGGGGACAAAAGGGGGACAAAAGGGGGACAAAAGGGGGATAAAAGGGGGAGAAAAGGGGGACAAAAGGGGGACAAAAGGGGGACAAGAAGAGCATTGAGATGGTCGCCATGGTGGATGAATATGAATACTTCTTCAGTATTGTGCCTGGGCAGAGAAGGGAGAGACCCGGCAAGGGGGAAACAGGGGAGGGGCAAGGGGCGAAGAGTGAGTGGGAAGACAGCAATGCCTGTGAAGGTGGTGGCGATGGTGGATGAATACTTGTTCATTACCGTGTCTGGGCGTGCCAGACATTCAGAGAGAGGGGGTTGCAAAGTGGGTGAAAAGAGGGGGAACGGGAGGGACGTGCGAGCGAGGAAAGGAGGTGTGGAGTGTGAGGCGAGGCGGTGTGACGGACAGACCAGCGTATTTGAAGAAGAAGGAGGAGAGGATGCCCTGCATGGCGTTCGAGTCGACTAGAAAACACAGAGTGTGACTTTCGTTTGAGTTGACTCAAAAGACGGACCGGCGTATTTGAAGAAGAAGGAGGAGAGGATGCCCTGCATGGCGTTGTTGGCAATGAGCACTGCCGTGGCGCGTGAGTGCCCGTGCAGGATGTTGAGCGATGCCGTGTCCCCGCCTGCACCCATAGTGGAAGGGTGGTGGGATATGGTGGGTGGGATGATGGATGGATGGAGTGGTGGGACAAATGGGACAAATGGTGATTTCCGAGAAAGTGCAATCTTCATCCTCAGGCATGAGGCATGAGGCATGAGGCTGTGTTTTGAGTGGACTCAAAATTCATCCTCAGGCATGAGGCATGAGGCATGAAGCTGTGCGTGTGACAAACAGAACAGACAACACAACGCACCTCGAGCAATGAAAACCCCCAGGAGGAAGATGAGGTTGAATAGAAGGCCCCAGCAGTACATGAAGAAGTTCTGCAAGGGGGAGGAGGGGAGTACAGGGGAGTGGAGGGGAGGGGAGGGGAGGGGAGGGGAGGGGAGGGGAGGGGAGGGGAGGGGAGGGGAGTGGAGGGGAGTGGATGGAGGAGAGGGGAGAGTGATTGGAGGTCGGGGAGAGGGCGGAGAAGCAAAGGCTACGTGAGGGGGAATGACTGGTTGCAAGGTTAACTACTAAAAATCAGGAGATGTCTGGAGTCGACTCAAAACGTGAGGGGGAATGACTGGTTGCAAGGTTAATCACTAGAAATCAGGAAATGTCTGGATGCATTAACAGGAGGGGACTATGTGATGGGAGGATGCACAGGAATGTGGATGGGTGGGAATGAGGCGGAGAGCGGTGGAGAGAGTTGGGGAGGGTTGGAGAGATGTGGTAGAGGATGCACCTGCAGGTGGACGCTGGTGTCGAACTGACTCTTCAATGCATACTCGTTGTACACTGATGCAGTAGAAGGTATTGTGAGCTGATATTGCAGAGGAGGGAAGCAAGCTTTCGTTATCAGATTGAGCATGCAAAGAGCACACAGCAGTGTGTGTCGATGAGTCAACACCCCAAAACTCGGTATGATGCAATGCGGATTTGCAAATGGGGAGGAGGAGAGACGGACGCAGGCCTTTCACTTGTCATGCATGCAGAGAAATGAAGGAAAGAGAAGAAATGAGCAAGGACACACACACGCGACATACATTCGAACACCACACCGAAAAAAGAGCACGTACAAAGAAGAATGTGTGCAGACTCATGCAAGGGGCGAGACGTCGAGCACGGCAGGCAGCAGCAGCAGCTGCAGCGGCGGCAGCAGCAGCATTCGACACATCAAGCATGGCGACACGTACAAAGAAGAATGTGTAGACCCATGCCAGGGGCGAGACGTCGAGCATGGCAGCAGCGGCTGCATTGCCACCGCACGGTATTTGGTTGATGCTGATGCCTATGAGCAGCAGCACGAGTGCTTCACACTGCAACACGGCGTGGGTGAAAAACAAGGGCACAGGGAGAGGAGGGGAGTGCATTTGAGTGTGCCTTAGGAGTGGCGGGTCCGATGCAAGTGACGCACGGTAAATGGTTGGTGCTGATGCCTATGAGCAGCAGCACGATTTTTGAGGCGCCTCAAAAATCGGATGCAAGCGGCGCACGGTATTTGGTTGGTGCTGATGCCTATGAGCAGCAGCACGAGTGCTGCACACTGCAGCAGGAAGGGAGAAAGCAGCAGGGTGCGGGAGGGGAAAGGAGGAGGGGGGAGGGGATTGCGTTTCGTTTCAATGCGCCTCATGAGTGGACGGTGGGATGCAAGGGGCGGGCTGCGAGGGGGGGGGGGGGGTTGACGTGTTGCTTGGCATGGCATCAACAGTACGAGGAGGGAGACGAATGGCGTCTAAGAGGAAGGGAGTGCATTCAGATGTGCCTCAGGAGTACAGGGTTGAATGCTGCAGGGTGTTTTTGAGAATTCTCAAAAACACCCTGCAGCGTCTAAGAGTAAGGGAGTGCAATTAGATGTGCCTCAGGAGTACAGGGTTGAATGCAAGGGGGGGCGGGGAGGTTTTGCGGTGATGCATGGCATGGCATGGCATGGCATGGCATGGCATGGCATGGCATGGCATGGCATGGCATGGACAGCCCCACCTGCATGAAAGTGAAGCGCCTCTTCATGACCACAGTCAGCAGCACAGCAATCACAAGAATCTGCACCCACACACACCCACCCACACACACACACACAAGTACCATTCACAAGCAGGATGTGGGAGAGGGAGAGAAAAAACGTACATGCAGAGGAGAGGAGAGCTGCGAAGGTAGTGATATAAAAGGAGGTGGAGGGGGATTGAAACGAGGGCGATGGAGTGGGAAGGGGGCTGGAGTGACCCCCTTAGAACGGCATGGAACCGGAATGATTCTCCTCCCCACCATGCCACTCTAAGGGAATCACTTGGATTGTCCTTTTCCCCCCTCTCCCCTCTACCCCCCCCTCAAAAGCGTGGGACCAGAGCAGAGCCTGTGGAGACGACAGCCGTTTAACCCCTTTGGATGCTCAGGTGCTGCTAAGCACTTGAGCAGTAAAGGTGAATCTGCGTGTTTTGAGACGTCTCGAAACATGCTCAGGTGCTGCTAAGCACTTGAGTAGTAAAGGTGAATCTGCGTGGAAGGTGGCGTGGTGGTCAGTCAATGTCAATGACAATGCGTTGTGTACTACCAATGACCTTGAGCATTTCCGAGCATCTTCACAGTCGTCGGCTTGAAATACAGCTGATGGTCGCATTGCTGTTTACATGAGATGTGATGTGTGCACTTGAACAGTCAGGAGTGAGGTGGTAGTCAGTCAGTGTGTGTGTGTGTTTGTGCGTGTGTGTGTGTGTGTGTGTGTGTGTGTGTGTGTGTGTGTGTGTGTGTGTGTGTGTGTGTGTGTGTGTGTGTGTACTGACCTTGAGATTTCCAAGCATCTTTACAGTCGTGGGCTTGAAATACAGCTGATGGCCGCATTGCGGAGAAAGACGGAAGAGGGGAGAGGGAGGGGATGGGGATGGGGATGGGGATGGGGATGGGCATGGGGATGGGGATGGGGATGGGGAGGGAGGGGAGGGTGAGAGTGAGAGGAGGGTGAGGGAGCGGGTGAAGGACAAGGCGAGGATGAGGGGAAGGGAGCTGTGCTGTGGATAAAGTCGTCCTTCTGTGGCGGAACTGAAAGGACGGGATGGTCAAGGCAAGGCAAGGCAACTGGTGACAGGTTGTGCAGAGAGAGTGTAGTGCAGACCGTGCAAAGCAACAAGGTGGTGTCGAAACGCAACAGAGCAGGAGGGAAGGCGAAATGACTTTTGAGGCGCCTCAAAAGGTGATAGGTGGCACGGAGAGAGTGCAGTGCAGAACGTGCAACAAGGTGGTGACGGAACGGAGCAGGAGGGAAGGCGAAATGGACAGAGCAACGGAGAAGGGTGCCGGAACACTGAGGGCGGAGACAGATGGGTAGGTAGTATGATGATAAAACCGACCATGCAACAAGAGCAACGATACATATAACGTGTCAGAACAAAACACCCATGGCAAGCCAGCCATTCTCATCAAGCAGGTGCGTGGAAAACCAATCTCGTGTGCACTCAAGCCAAGCCAAGCCAAGCCAAGCCATAGTCAAATCAGGTCATGTCAAGGCAAGGCACATGGTTGAGCGACCTGCATGACGAATTTGAGGTAGTTGTTCATGGCGTAGAGGAGCGCCGGCCAGCACCGCCAGCAGCACAACTGGAAAGGGTTCATAGATGCAGTTCAAACCCGCTTGCTGCGGTTCGAACCCTTTTCTCACCTGCATGACGAATTTGAGGTAGTTGTTCATGGCGTAGAGGAGCGCTGGCACCGCCAGCAGCACATTCGCCTTGGCTGACTGGTGGCAGGCAGGCATGGGAAGGTAGGCAGGCGGGAGGGTGGGCAGGTGGGATTAGGATGAGTGGTATGAACAGTAAGTTGCCTCAATATTCGAGGTGACTTTTGAGTCGACTCAAAAGGATGAGTTGAATAATATCCAAGTCGCCTCAAAATTCGTCTCACTTCACGTTGAGAAGGAAAGGCACGGCCAGCAGCACATTCGCCGTGGCTGCCTGGTGGCAGGCAGGCATGGGAGGGCATGCCGGCGGGCAGGGGGGATGAGGATGAATGGGATGCGAGCAGGATGCTGCGATGAGCGGAGCGGAGAGGAACGAGTGGATGGTTGGACGGAGACTGTTGATGGATGACATGACCATATGGTGTGTTTTGAGACGTCTCAAAAGTCATGAGCGGAGAGGCACGAGCGGATGGTCGGATGGAGACTGTTGACGGATGACATGACCATAAGGTGTGGAAACGCGGTATGTATGGGGATGGGATACAGGGTTAAGGATAGTGTATGGGAATATGGCATCGGAATAGGGATCGGAATAGGGGAGGGATAGGGATAGGAAATGGAATAGGGGTACGGAATACAACATGTCAAGGCAATGGCAGCACAGCATAATGTGCATGTATGTACCTTCCAGATGGCTCTGGGAGTAAACGTTTTGAGGCGCCTCAAAAATCAATGGCAGCACAGCATAATGTGCATGTATGTATGTACCTTCCAGATGGCTCTGGGAGTAAAGGCAGCTTTGACGCTGGGTCGGGCACTGCGGGCCTGGTGTGGAGGTGCAGTGGGAGAGGCAGAGGGAGGGAAGGAGGGAGAGAGGCAGGCAGGCAGGCATGAGGGGGGTAGTTGAAAGAGAGATGATGGCAGTGTGCAGGGAAGGAGAGCAAGGGATAAAAAACCGGGGGAGGAGGTTGTGGGCGGGGAGAAAGGGGAAAGGAGAGGACAAGGGAGCAGGGGGGGGGGGGGGGGGGGGGGGGGGTAAGGGACAGGGCAGCACGGCTGGACGAAGATGATGGCGAAGGTGAACGAACTTGAAGAGGTATGGAAGAAACTCTGAATATTCGACTCGAATTGAATCTCCAGAGAAAGGAAAGGATAGGGGAGAGTGGGGAAGGGCGAGGGTAGAGGGGAGAGGGGAGAGGGGAGAGGGGAGAGGGGAGAGGGGAGAGGGGAGCGGGCAGAGGGCAGAGGGCAGAGAGCAGAGGGCAGCGGGCAGCGGGCAGAGAGCAGAGGGCAGAGCGCAGAGGGCGCAGAGCGCAGCGGGCAGCGGGCAGCAGGCAGCGGGCTGCAAGCAGAGAGCAGAGAGCAGAGAGAAGAGAGCAAAGAACAGAGAACAGAGCAGCCCACCTGGAAGAAGATGATGATGATGGCGAAGGTGAACTTGAAGAGCTCGGAGAGGAAGTTGACGCTGATGGGGTTGAAGAGGAATTTGCCGTCCACCTTGCTCATGTACACCAGGATGGGCTGCATGCCTATGAAGAAACAGTCCCCCGCCACCAGCATCACGTTTAGCGCGCGCGACTGCAGACCTCCTGCTAGTGCTCCTGCTCCTCCTCCTCCGGACCCTGCCCTGTGGAACGCGCGCTTCATCGCCATGTGTGGGATTGTGCCGCGTCCGCTCTGCTCTGCTCTGCTCTGCACTGCTCCGCGATGCTCTGCTATTCGGTGCTCTGCGATCTATGTCTGTTCTAAACAGTCTACTTATCTTAGTCGCACCTTGTCCGACCGCCCGGGTAAGCACTTTCTAGTACTAAAATTGCGGAATCTGGACCAATTCCACCCCTTCCCCCTCCCACGTCCACCTGCTCCTCCTCCAACGCCCCGTTCCCCTACCACCCACTCTCTGTCAGTTTACACACACCCTTCTGATCCCCGCTCCCCGATCCCCGATCCCCGCTCCCCGATCCCCGATCCCCGATCCCTGTCCCCCTCCACTTGGTTCCTACTACCTCACGGACTAATCACCTTCTCACTGACTCCATGCGTCCCGAGTCCACGATATCCGCGGTCTGCCTGATAACCATCCGCTAGTTGCGCCTACGAGAACGACTCTCGACTGGACTAAAAAAACATTTGCATGCTAAAAAATCTTCGTAAGTGTACCTCCTCTTCGACCGTTCGATTCTGACAGGAAGAGCTCTAGTCCCTGCTACCCTGGAGAACGTTCGATTCTTGCCCTAAAGAGAACTCGCGAGCAGACTGAGAGAAACTACTCCTCGACATTCCATGTCCTAACGAACTATTGAAACGACGCAAAGCGCAACAGCTTGAACAATGGCTGAACTGCTGATGAGTTTGTGCCTGCGGGTGCGGATGGTGCTGAGCCTAAATCAATAATAATGCAAAAAAAAGTGTCCAGAACAGCGTGCTCCAGGCTGGTCTTGAGCTGCTTACGGTCCTTTCAACATTCCGCGTCGAGTTTCCGCTGATCAGCGCACCCGACAGCGTCCGGCCGGTGCTCGTCGCTGCTTCCTACTGAGACTAGACGTGTACTTATGGCAATGGTTGACTATCCGTGGTTGCTCCGTTCCTCGGAGGGCGGATGGCAGGAATGATCGAGCGCCATTCGATCAGAAGCAGACGAATACAGTGAACTGAAGGAGAAGTGAAGCAGGTGAAGGAGAAATGAAGCAGTCTGCCATACTTGCATCTGCTAATCAGTGGCTTGCTTTCATGGTCTTCCTCACCAACCAGTGGCAGCAGCTCCGTTCCGCGCATTGGGTTCCCCCGTGCTGGTGGCATTATTGGGTTTGTCTGAAGATATTTGTAATATCGCCTGAAAGCTTCGCGAGCCGGTAGCCCTAGTTCGCGAGTGTCGTCACGCGTGAGTTCAGCGTCACGATTGGTGTGACAAATTTTTGCTACGTCGGTAAAGGTATGCAACGAATCATCGTGAGTACGAACACTGAGACGAAGCTGGTAACAGGCTATCTCCCCAGAGATAGGTCGCGGGCTGTTCCAGGTGGTCAGGCGGCGTTGGGGATTGTTCGGCTCGGAGATGCCCGAGCCACAGGTTTTCAAACCTACCAAACTTGCCATACGTACTGTACACCCAACCAGAAAGTACGGAAATTTGCCTGGTTTCACCACCCCTCGAATCCATCAGGTTTCCTAGAGATTAGTTTCTTGCCTTTCAAGCCCAACAAGGCGAGACTTACCTAGTTAGTCTCCCCTGGTCCACTACACACAGACCGACCCACAGTTTTTTCGCCAGATTGCACCCGCGCACTCCATTTCACGCATACATTCCCGGCCGCGACGAAGCTAGCAACCCCGGCCACGGCGATGGCTTCCGCTGTGGTAACCACCGCGGCGCACATGGCGCTGGCGATCGCGTCCATGGCGGTCGTGCTCGTCTTCTGCGACGGGTCGCTCTTCGGGTACCATCCCGCGGCGCTCGCGCTCGGCTTCGTATTCCTCATGGGAGAGGGTGTCATCGCCGCTGCTGTCGGCAAGGTAGTACCTTCAGCACTCATAATGCTGCTTCACCAAGCAACGCACATTCCGTGCATTTCCGTCCACATTGTTGGCCCCGTCCTTCCCCCCATTCCTCCCCCCCCTTCTCTCTCTATCTTTCTTCTTCTCTCCTTCCCACCCTCCCTCCCTCTCTTGCTCTTCCATCCTCAACCCCTTCCCATACGCCCACCCTTTCCAGCTGCCACCACCACCAGGGTCCGCAGCGGCCCCTCTGCATCACCATACATGCGCTGCTCCAATGCCTGGCAGGAAACACCACCATCTACCTCAATAAACCCTGCCTGAGCAAACCACACTTCACTGCTCTCCACTCCCACCCTTTCCAACCACCACCACCAGGGTCGGCAGCGGCCCCTCTGGATCAACATCCACGCCCTACTCCAAGGCCTGGCAGGCGCCTCCACTATTTACTGCAACAAATCCCGCCTGACCTAACCGCACTTCACCCCTTTCCACTCCCACCCCTTCCAACCACCACCACCACTGACAGGGCCGGCAGCGACCTCTCTGGATCAACATCCACGCCCTACTCCAAGGCCTGGCAGACGCCTCCATCTATCTCATTACATCCCTCCTGGGCAAACCGCACTTCACCGCTCTCCACTCCCACCATTTCCCAACACCATCAGGGACGGCAACGACCTCTCTGGATCAACATCCACGCCCTACTCCAAGGCCTGGCAGGCGCCGCCATTGCAGCCGGAACCACCGCCATCTACCTCAACAAAACCCGCCTCGGCAAACCGCACTTCACCACTCTCCACTCTCGGCTCGGCCTCGCAGCGCTGGTGCTCTCTGCAGGCATTGCTGTGGGCGGTGCTGTGGTGAAGTATCTACCTGCTGCTGGGGTGGGTGTGGGTGTGGTGGAGGCGACACGGCGTGCGCACAAGCAGTTTGGCTCTGTGGCGTTTTTCTTAGGAGTGGCGGTGTGTGTGAATGGGCTCCGACTCACCAACCCTTCCAGCCCTGTGTACAAGGTGAGGGTAGGGGGGAGCTGGGGGAAAGGTGGGCATAAGGAAGAGTGGATGTGGGGTGAAGGTGGGTGAACGGTTGCTGGATAGAGGGGGAAAGGGGTGGGCGAACAAGGATCGAGAAGAGTTAGGGGTAGGAGAAAGGAGAAGCACTAGTGGTGCAAAGCTGTGGGGTGGTGAGAATAAGCTGATTACCTCTCTACTGCAGCAATGTCACCCTAATCTCACCCTAACGCCACCTTCATCTCACCCTAATGTCACCGTCAAGTCACCTTACGTGTCGACCTAATGGCATCCTAATGTCATTGTAATGTCACCATGCTTCCCTGCTTCAGGCTGCAGCCTTACGGTACATGTGACTCGTGCTTTCCCTCCCATTATCATGCCGGTAATGTGATCCCATGCAGGGTACACTATCCATGGCGGTGGGTGGTCTGCTGGTGTTGGCTGCTGCTGCTGTGCTGCTGCTACTGCTGCTTGCAACCTCTGCCACTCCCAAGGAAGGCAGGGGCAGGAGAGCACCCAAGGCAGACTGAAGCATTGTATTGTATGGGATGGAGTAGGAGACATGAGAGAAGGCGGTCCAAGTGTGAGAGGCACGTGTGGTTGGCTTGGCATACCATGCTTTTATAATGCACAAAGTGCTGTTTGGTAATAATGGGGATTTTTTTATAAGAGATATCAAGTATCCCACAGTGCCTTCGTCTTTCAGAGTTAGTATCACGAGGGTTAGAATCCAGCAGCACAAGGGCACTTGTATAAGGAAAACAAATCAATGAGAGCCGCAACAACCGCTGCAGTATTGGAAACCCACTCGAGCAGCACGGGCGTTCCGAGGTGCCACAAACACAAGGCAAGCCTAGTCAACGTATCAGCTGGAATTCGCCTGAGTAGGGAATAACCTCTGCTTGCAATTGCTTCAGCTGGCAACACCAGGCCATGACAGCACAGCTGCTTCCTCTGGTGGAACAGGCACAGGAGTGAGCCGCTTCTTGCTCCTCCCCACCACCGCCACCTCTGCCGCCCGCTTCTCCCCTCGTTGCTCCCCTTCCCCTGCCTTGCCCCCAGCAGCAGCAGCTGCAGACGGCAGCTCAGAGGCTGTAGTAGCAGGAGCAGCAGCCGGAGCTGACGCGGCAGCAGGGGCTGCTGCAGAAGCAGCAGCAGCAGCAGCAGTAGTAGGGGGTGCAAAAGAGGAGGCAGCGCCAGAGAAGACGGCAGAGAGTTGTTCTCTCATCATTGCCTCCACAGAGGGCAGGCGAATCATCTCCTTAAGCTCCTCTGCCTGCCATAAGGGGAAGAGGGATGAATAGGGTGGAAAAAAGAGGATAATGTCAAACTGGCTTCAGAAACGCTTGAGATGGCAGAGGGGTGCTTCCCATGTTCTTTGACTGAATGAGACGGGCAGGAGCAGAGAAAGTGAAGGGCAGTGAAGGCATGAAGCAAGATGGACGAAGGGGGTTCACAGGACTTGTCAAGAAATCAAGGGATGAAGGGATCAGCCCAAGGATCCAGGAGAGGGGGAGAAGAAGAAGCCAAGAGGAGCTCTCACCTTCTCCTTGAGGTCACTGGCGATCTGCTGCACGTCTTGTATCTCCCGCACCAGCTCCTCCTCGCTGCTGCTCCCGTCTATCGAGTCGTACGGAATGGCCTCGCGCTCCTCCGCCTTACCCTTTCCCTTGTCCACAGAACCCTTTGCAGCTTCCCCTGCCTTCTGCTCGTCCTTCTCTGCCCCATTCTTCTCTTCCTCTTTCTTTTCCTCTTTCTGCTCTTCCTCTGTCTTCTCTTCCCCTTTCGTCTCTTCTTCTCCCTTCTTTTCTCCCTTCGCTTCCCCCTTCACTTCGTTCCCTGCAGCTTCATCCGCATCCTTCGTAGCCTCTACCCCCGCACTAGCACCTTCAGCAGCGGCGGCACTCCCACTAGCCACACTCTCACCGCCCTCCTTCCCTGCTGCTTTCAGCTTCCGTTTCGCATCAAGAAGCGTTTGCGCCTGTGCAATGCGCTTCTCACACGCGTCTATGGCCTGCCGGCAGCACCGGAGAGCCTCAGGCGCGCGGTTGCCCGTCTGATTCGCCAACGCCATCTTGAAATACCTGCCGAATACAGACGATAGAAGAACAGGCGGTACCAGCATGGGTGAGCACAGGCGGTACCAGCATGGGTGAGTCGAAACGGAAGGGAAGAAGGAAGGGGCTCAATACATTGGAAGAGAAACAAAAACTGCTAATACTTCAGTCTGTTCAACTGCGAGAAAGAGAAGATGGCTGAAACAAAAACTGCTGACGAGGAGCAGCAGAGAGACCGCCACGTCAGCACGGCACCACGTCATCACTCACAGTTCGATGACGCGTCGGTGGTGCGGAGATACGAGCAGTGAGAGCAGGTGCAGCGCGTGCTGATAGTCCTCCATGCACGCGTCGAAGTCCTCTGGTGCGGGAAGGCCGTAGGGAGGTGGTATGGCGGGGTGCATAGGGAGGTGCACAGGGGGGGGGGGGGGGTTATTTAGTGGGATCAAGAGTCACACGGTGCAGCGCGTGCTGATAGTCCTCCATGCACGCATCGAAGTCCTCTGAAGCGGACAGGAGAGAGGGAGGCGGCATCGGGAGGTGGCATCGGGAGGCGCATAAGGGGAAAAATATTCGAATTAAGAGTCAGAAGGTGCAGCGCGTGCTGACTCCATGCACGCATCGAAGTCCTCTGGAGCGGACAGGAGAGAGGGAGGTGGCATCGGGAGGCGCATAGGGGGATATATGAGTCGAATCAAGAGTCCGAAGGTGCAGCGCGTGTTGATAGTCCTCCATGCACGCATCGAAGTCCTCTGGCAGGCAACTGGGAGGTGCATAGAGGTGTCAGAATACCTCTTCAACACCCCACCACCAGCCCAGTGCGACCGTCTCACCCTTTTCAAGACTAAGATCCGCGAGCGTGGAGATAACATCCACCTCCTCCAGGCTCCTCGCGTCGCGCTTCGCGTAGATGCACCGAGCCGTCTCCAGCAGCCGCCATGCGAGCTCCTGGTCGCCCTCCTCCTCCTCGTCCCCGTCCTCTGCGTCCTCTAAATCCTCCTCCTCAGCTGCGTCGGCTGCATCAGGGGCATCTTCCGTCTCTTCCACTGCACACCGGAAGACAGAGTAACGGAGGGACGGGGTAACGGGGTAACAGGCGAAACTTCGGTGAAATTGATTCGCTAAATGCTTTGTTTGAACATGGCTTCCCATCCGGACCAAAACAGACGAATAACGCTCCAAAGTGCTAAAAAATAAAACGAGAAGCTAACGGGTGGCACACGAAGGAATCAAGAAGGGCACTTATATATATCACATCGTCACAGGCGAAAATGAAAGAAACGAACCTTTGCCTTTGCCTTTCCCTTTTGACTTGCTTGCCTCGCCCTCCTCTGCTTCCACATCTTCTTCCTCCTCCTTTCCCTGCTCTAGCTTCTGCCCTGCAGGGCCCAGCACGTCCGTGTCGCGCTGCGACTTGGCGAAGAGGGCGGAGCCGTACTTATAGTACGCCACAGCGCATTCCTCGCCGAGCTCGCCGAACGCAGCGACTCTGGTCGGAGGGTAGTAGGAACGATTGGCGGGAGGAGAGATAGGCGCGTGAGGCCGATACGCGGGGAAGATGCGGCGGCACGGAATGCATGACGGTGGATTTTGATAGCACGTGGATGTGAGGTTCGAGGAAAATTAATGCGCTTCAGTTCGTACCGCGATTCGAGTGCGGAACCGAAGAGCTGGATGGCAGTCTCGATGTCGCCGTTGTCGAGAACCGCATCGCCTTGCTTCAGAAGTTCACCGGAATCGCGTAGCTTCTGAGACACGTCGATTTGCGAGCTTGACCCCATGACGGCGAAAGCAGCCGCAGTGAGGTCGTCTCAAGGGAAGTCACGATCGCCGCCTGCCTCGAGACGACGCAAGTGATGACCAACTATGAGGGGAACCTGGAGTAACAGTAGGATAGTCCTCGTAACGAAAAATAAGGTATTCTAGTTAAAAGCTGCGAACCGAGAGAATCGCCTTGGAGCTGCAGGAACGAGGAAATGAGCAGGAAGGTAACACGCTTGAGAAACACTGAAGTAATAACACGCGGATGGAATTTTAACCTAAGAGGGAGATGGAGGGAGTTCAGTTCCTCGTTTGCCTTGGCCTTCCAGCTTGGCCTGATTGGTCTAGCACCTGGAGATTTCCCGCCACCAGGAGACTGTCGTCCAAGTCGCATATAGTCGCACACTCTTGGGTGTCGCGAGACGTTACACCGTCGTGAGGCTGGCTCTAGCCCAGTGTGCGAGCTCCCGCAGCTCGCCACTTTCTCGTGAGCGACCATGTGCGAGCGAATCGCCTTTTCGATCATTCAAATTGAAAAGTTCGAATTGGCTGCGTTACTGTGATGGGATCGTTAAGAGCAGAAAGCAGTCCGTGTTTCTTACAAACAGTTCTTCCACACCCAAAACTGTATGGAACCAGAACAACCGCACAATACACCAACAATTATACACACAAATCTGAACTTCCAAAACAAACCTCGTCTTTTATTGTGTACAAATGACAAATACAGCATCTCCGCGATTATTGTGCAAACATTTCTTTCCTCGAGGTATGTAAGCCAAGTTAACTCTTGCTCAAGTTTCTTGAACTCATCCAACCAAACAAAGACTGACCACCACCAGCACCGCCACCACCACCACTGCCGCCGCCGCCATTACCAGCAGCATTGCTCTTTGGTTTCATCTTACTAGCCTTTTCCGCAGCAGCAGCCGCAATTTCGGCTGCTTCTGCTGCTGCGGCTGCAAGCTCTAGCTGCTCTTCTTCCAACGGGTAAACCACCCTCCAGTCCCCTCCGAGCCTTTCCAGCTCAATTTTTGCCACATCCAACCGTCTCTTCAGCTTCTCCTCTAGCTTCTTTGCAGCTACAAGCTTAGTCCGCAATTCTAGCGCAGCCGCCTCCGCAACCTGTTTGCTCTTCTCCAACCTCTCCACATCGCCTTTCATCAGCATCAGCTCTGAAACCGCATCTGTTTTCGCCCGAAACATCTCCTCCGCCTCGCCCTTCAACTTACTCACCTCCGCTGCAAGCCGCTCCGCATCTGCCCTCGCCTCCGACTCCCTCTGCTCCGCCCCTTCAATCTCCGTCTCCATATTAAACAGCAGCGACGCATGCTGCTCCGCTACCGCAGCTGAAGCCTCGGCATGCTCCCGCTCCCGAGCCTCCATGTCCGCCACCCGAACCTGCGCCTCCACCAGGCCTTTCTCCGACATTTCCGCCCGGTTCGTCGCAGCTTTCACCTCCACACTCAACCGCGACACCTCTGCTTCCAGCAGAGCCACTTTCGACCGAATCTCCTGCCTTAACTCGCTCTCAAAAAGCGCTCGGCTCTCCTCTAGTTTCTTCTTCGCAGAGCTCTCAGAAGCAATCTTCTCCTTTGCCTGCTCCAGCTCTGCAAACAGCTGCTCTCTCTCTCCAAGCGCCCGCCCTGTGGCTGCTTGCGCCTGGTTCAGGCGGTCCTCCCACTCGTCCTCTACTCTTGCCTTGGCGAATTCCCACTCTTCTGCTAGTCTCTGTGCCTCTGTGAGTTGATCTCTCAGCTGCGCGTTTTCCTTGAAAAGGGACTCTAGCCGCTGCTGCTGCAGGGCGACCGTGTCTGCTGAGGAGCCTGCAGCTGCTGCTGTGCTCTTAGGGGTGCTGCCCGTGGTTTGAGGGGTCTTAATACGGGGAAGGGGAGGAGGAAGGGAGAATGAGCAAGGGGAGACAGGGAGAAGGAGAATGATGCCGTGAGAAATGGTGAGGATTGGTGATGGGGAAGGAAGGATCACTGGGCCGGCTGGCACAGCGGCAGCTGTAAACACAGCAGGTAAGTGGGCTGCACTCTGCACTCTGCACTCTGTCTGCATAACGACAAGACAACCTGCCTGCCTGTGTTTAGCAGGCATAACGGTGGGTGGTGCATAACAATTTCAGAAGAGCAGCACAAACTCTATGCCAGTCCGCCCATGCCGTTTTCCCCAGCCACTCCACGCACGCACACACGTGGCGGCGACAAAGGCACCAATGCCCCTCATTCCAAAACACGCCCTGTGCATAAGTCCCTCTTCTTTCTCGCACTCCACACCTCCCTTCTCCCACAGTTGTGCTCTCGCTCGAGCAATCAAGCACGTGGAGACAGACAGACAGACAGACACACGCAACCCCTTTTTTCCCTCTTGCTGCACTGCACACACATGCACATCATTGTGCCCACGTCCACGACCTCACCTATTCCCTCCCCCTCTTGAAACCCTTTTAAACTCCCCTTCGCTCCCTTCCTTCCTCCAAGTGTGGTCGGACTGACACAAGCAACCACCACCACAAGCAGTTTCCCACATGCCTCTGTCACGTCCATTCTTATGGCACCAGCAGCAGCAGCAGCAGCTTCTGCTCCTTGCTCCTTCTCCCTCACCCCCTCTCTCTCGCTCTCACATCCACTCTTCTCGTTCTGTTCTCTCCTGCCATGTCATGTCATGTACTTTCCACATTCTTGCCTGCACTCAATGTCTTTCAACCTGGTGGTCTGTTCCCCACCATTCCCCACGCGCGTTCCGCGCATCCCCTCCCCCTCCGCGCGCTCACCTGCCCCATCTTCACCGCGAACAGTTCCGCTTCCAGCTGCCCCGCGCGCGTCGTTAGCTCCGCCTTCTGCCGCCGCAGGTCGTCCCGCTCCGCGCGCAGCCGGTGCATCTCGTCCGCCTGCTGCCGCCACGCCGCCGCCGCGCGCTCCGCCTCCTCCGACCGCAGCGCCAGCTCGCGCAGCAGCCGCGCGGCTTCCGCCTGGTCGCGCGACGGCACGGGCGGAAGCGCAGAACCCCCTCCGGTGCCCGTGCGCGAGGAGGTGAAGCTAGGGGAGCGGCATGTGGGGGTGTTGGGCCGGGAGTTGGAGGCGCCGCTGCCAGTGCTGTGGCAGCGCGCAAGGTCGAGGGCGGAAGAGGGGGACGGCTCGTCGGTTTTGGGGGAGGCGGGCTGCTCCTTGGACCGCCGTATGTGGTTTAGGATACGCCCCGCCATGGCGGAACTGGTTGAGGGGGGAAGGGGAGGAGGACGTAGGACGGAGACGGGGAAGGGGGGAGGGGGGGAACAGGGGAATGGGAGGGGGAACGCGAGTGTGAGAGAGGGGTGGAGGGTGGGGAAGAAGTGGCGAAAGGGAATGGATTGAGGAACGAGAGCGAAGGAGAGAGAAGGAAGAGGGGAGAGAAGATGGGTGCTTTAGGGCACGGCAGTGGGGCGAAGGAAAACGGGAAAAAGCAGAAATCAGGAAAAAACGGGAAGAGGAGGGGAAAGTGGAAGGTGAGGGGGGAGAGAAGGTAGGGGGGAGAGAAGGTAGGGGGAAACAAAGAAATTAGGGTTTCGCTTACCTACGGCAGGGGAGGTCAAGCAATCAAGTAGCTGCTTTTTGAACGGGTCAAGGAGTTGATCCCTCTTGAGACGCCTCACAACAGAGACGGCTTTGTTCCAAGGGCCAACTGACGGCTCTCGCACGATCAAAACGACGAGTGCTGCGACGACAAGCAGACGACTCGATGCGACTCCCAAGAGGCGCTTCCCGCGACGGTCGACGGAAATGGACGGAGATTATAATAAGATGCTGTTGGAGACGAAGCAGCTAGGCCGACGGGAAACGACTTGGCCGGGATGAGGGCGAGAAGAGAGGACTAGGAAGGCCGGTTCGTCGTATGATCTAGCTTAGTCCCTTGACGTAGGTCGAATGACTACACGGACGAACAACGGCGAGAGTCATTCATTCTCGTCGCGAGTGTCGGCCCGCTGACTGTGCCTTTTGTCACGACTGAATCGGAATCCTGAATTAGATACACCTGGTCGTAATGTTGGCTAGCGGTAGAGTGGTGCCTGCGCCTTCACATGCTCGACGCAAATAAACCATTAGGGTAACTGTAACGCGGTGGCGAATCTCTTGCGCGAACGAGCGATCCTTTCGCTAGAAATATCCCACACTTCGCGAGAGAGCGTCTGGTCTAGGAACTACGAGTACTGTGTACTTTCGCGTGGCTCGCGCTCCCTGCTCCAAGCACCTCACACCACTCTGCCTGGCTGACGGAAGCTCGCTCTATTGTCACTGAGAGCCGACGGAGGCTGACTGGACACTACTGTGTCGCGAGGAAGCTAATTGCGTAACTCGTAGGTACCATTCTCGATTGCTGACTTTAGTGTGCACACCGTGCAGCAGCACAGAGCAGAGTCAACAACAGCGTGGACGTCAGGTGTACAGTTTTCCCATCCCATCCCTCTGGTGTACAGTGGGGTCTTCTCACCCCTCGAGTTTCCCTCCCTCTCTCCCCGCCCTGTTTGACGGGGCCTGCTTTCCTCTGGTGGGGTGGCCTGCCTGCCAGCGTTTCATTTCGAGACGAGACCAAACATTTCTACAGTTTTATATGCAGAAATTCATGGTTCCACTTGTCTTGTAGTGTACCGCTAATTCTGACACTGCTTTTCGATTCTGACACTCAAACTGAGTTTGTTCGAGCCGACTGACACCAAATGAGCTGCCAGAGCAGAGGGCATTTTTGTTTTCTTGGGAACATCCTGGCCGAAAAGCATGTCACTAACTTCCACGTTGCGTCCCGAGCTCATTAGGGCGTGCTCGCTCGTTTTCCAAACAATCGAACTTTGTGCCGTTACAGAATTTCACGAAACCCTTTCCGTCTAGTGTCCACTTTGTAGTACACTTCTTTTCGCACCCGTCAATTTCGCTGGTTTTGAAAAAACTCGGTTATCTGGAACTTGCAAAATCTCGAACAATTCCAGGATGCGATCTCGTCGCATCTATGCGAATATCTACAGTCTTTGCGACAATTCGTGTCGCTTGGCGGGAATGTCAAACACATCAGCCACGTCGACAAAACAAATCTTTTAATAGTCGCATGTACTTTGTGCGACTCTGGCGGTGCTTCGCACACGACTCAGAAAAATCGATCTCGAAGTGTGTCACGTTTGAGCGCCATGTCACGTTCGCTTTCTCTGTACCATATGCACCGTTAACGAAATTTCTGAAAGAATGGTGTTCGAATAATGCAGGCGACACATGTTCGATTCTCGAATTCGATTTTTGGCCGACGGTGGCAAAACGAGCACGCCCTTCAGGTGGACTGACCCTCTTCCAACCATAGTCTGGCTGGCTGGATGTGTGCCTAGTGCCCACGTCTTCAGGGCAAGAACTGCTTCTTGATGTGCTGGTTTGACTTATCTCGATGGAATCTGTGGAGGAACGCGTGTGTTCACACATCCCGCACAAAGCGGGGACCCGCCAGACAAGTCAGGTACCATCATACACTTGTTCCCACTCAACGTAGCATCGTTCACGTGTGGCAAGATTGTTTCCGTGGCTGCAAGCTAGGTAATTTATCTGAGTTAAATTAAATCTAAAATCCCTACACAAACAGGCCATGGATGCTAGAATTATATACACAGATCCTTACAGGCCGGGGGCTGAGAGTACCTCAATTCCCAGGACTCAAGAATGCAAGGCTGGGCACAACACAAAAACTCCAACGGAGCTCCATAAGCTCACACCACCACAAGGGCACTGCGCAGAGCAGCAGGTGCATTCTCCTTCATCTCCTCCTTTGCCTTTCCCTCCACACATTTGCCTCCGTTCAGCACATCCCCCTCCTCAGCCACATTCTCCTTCCCTGAATCTGAAGCAGCAGCAGCAGCAGCAGCAGCAGCAGCAGCTCCCTCCAATTTCCCTGTGTTGCTGGGTTCCTTGGCCGGCGCATGTGCGTGCGCATCCTTCTTATGTCTGCCTGCTCGCTCTAAAGTCTCATCAGTCAGGAAGTAGGCTGGGAGGAAGGGGCAGTTCCTATACCGCTCCCCTTGCCCTGCTGTTGCCTCTGCTAGGAGCCACAGGTACGGGCACAGGCCTGGCGGGAAAGTGCGGATGTCACTGGCCTTCCGAAGCGCGGAGTTGGGCTCGGTGTCGCTCACTCCCCCAATGGAGGTGTAACTGTAAAAATCAGAACGAAATTGCAGACGGATAAGGAGGAATGAGATAATGGGGAAAAAGGCTAAGCTAAGCTATGAATGCCAAGAGGGAAACTGCGGAAGAATAGAGGGGGAGCGGGGAGTGGTTTTAATGAGCAACGGGGGACGGAATCATACCCTTCATCATAAAGCGAGCAGTAGGGCACACGGGTGAGCAGCAAGAACTCCCAGACGTCTCTGTAGGTCCAGTTGAGGATCACGTTCACGCGCATGAAGGGCGGCCACCCAGGCGAGCTCTCTGCGAATACCTGCTGGCCCTTCTGCTCGGATGGTGACGAAGCGAGGAAAGGGAGAGCACAGCGGAGTGGAGCACGAGATTGAATACGTCGAACGACGGAGACGCCAGAGAATGAAGGCCTTGGTGGTTGTGAGAGGCAAGAGCGAAACCAGGGACAGGTAGAACGAGGCAAAAGAGACGAACAGCACGAGGCAGGGGCAGAGGCGGAGGCAGAAGCAGATCGCAGCTTACCCCTTTCGGGTCGTTGATACGCACGCCGAGGAAGATCGCCTTCACGGGCCGCTTCCGCTGCAGCGCCATCACACCTTCCTTGAACCCCTCCTTGGTCTGCAGCAGCGCCAGCCCGTAGCGCCGCGCCATGTCGAACGTGAACTCGTCCACCTCCGCGAAGCTGTCCTTATCGCGGAAGAAGATCGCGCACAGCCCGTCCGCTTCCCCCTCCCACCCGTCGTCGCTTCCCGCCATCTTCCCCTCCGCCTCCGCCTCCGCCTCCGCCTCCGCCTCCGCCTTCGCTTCCGCCTTCCCGTCGTCCAATTCCTCGTCGGAGAAAGTGGCGTTCGCCCCCATTTTGAACGACTCGCCTCCCTCCTCGTCCCCCGCCTCGGACCGCGCCACGCGCCCCCGCGCTGAAGGTGCCAAGAGGCAGTCGGACGACGACGACAGCGTGTGCGGCGCGAACGGGTCGTCGTCGTCGCCGCACTCCTCGCAGCCGTCGCAGCTGTCGCCGTGGGTCGCGGAGAGGGCGCAGTAGCAGGAGGAGCGGAGCTCGGGGTTGGAGCGGCAGCGGTGGAGGTGAGTGGAGGGCCAGTTGCATGCCATGGCTGCGCGCAGTAGGTGCAATATAACCTGCGGAAGAGAGAAGGTAAAAAAAAGCGGGGACGGTTACGAAAGAAGGGTTTAGGAAGGGAGTCGGAATTGAAAAATAGGGAGATGCAGAAACTGAAGATCACGGCGGGGAGACGAAGGCCGGGTAGGAAGCAGGTCGGGGAGCAATCTGACGACAGCGCTAAGGTGGCGAGAGAGTGAGAAGGACGACAGAGCGAAGGTGATCAAGAGCGGAAGAGTCGATGACGGTGAGAAAGAGGAAGCGAGAGAGGAAACCGCATGCTCTAAGAGGCGAGGCTCGCGGATTGGCGGACTGCGGAGGCAAACACTTACGGTGGAGTCTTTGCCGCCGTTGAAACATTTTATAGGCGCCTAAAAAAAAGTAGGAGGCAGAGACTTACGGTGGAGTCCTTGCCGCCGTTGAAGCTGAAGGCGATCTCGTTGGGCTTGTACTTGGTGAGCGTGCGGTGAATGGCGTCCATGGACTCGTCTACTCGCCGCCGAAGCTCCTGGCTCGCGCCATGGTCTATGGCCGAAAGAATCTCCATGATCTTGTTCCTTCGTGCCCTGGCTTAACTGTGTCTTGTACTGACTTGTCTTGTACTGACTTGTCTTGTCTTGTGATGTAACGGCCTGTCTTCTCTTGTACTGTGTGTGAAGTTGTCAGAGCAGGTCAGGACTACAACCACTGGTTTTGCGAAACAATAGACCGAACTGCTAGAGCAGGCTAGTATGGTGGATCGGAGATGCGCAGATCAACGAAAGGCTTGTTGGGAGAAATATTTGAGAGCGATCGGAAGAGAGAGCGTTGCAGTGGACTACGAACGAGCGGATCAGGTTGGACTTCGAGTGACGATTAGCTTTCACGGATCACTGACTGTACAAATGGAGGATGTTTTCAAAAGCTCCAGGAAGGATCTAGATTGGTTGTGCCGGTACGACTCACGGGACGATGAGCCGAGATCTTGGAAGGGTGACGGTGAAAGTGACGCTGACCTAGACTAGAATGGTTGAACGGGCTTCCAGGGCGGGTAGCGCAGTCGGGAAGGGGAAAAGCGTGAATGGCGTGACGAAACGAGTTGAATTGACAGGAAGATATGAACGGAACGACGGCTGGAAAGCACGTAGTCGCGGGTCAGGCGGGGCTGGACAACCGAAAAAGTGCTGTTGTGGGTAGCGTGGGCACACGATGTGGGATAGTTGGCGTGTGGAGGAGAACGATCTGTGGTTGGTTGGGCGTTTTGTTGGCGTTGGCAGATGTGTAATGAGTTGAATCACGAACACACCTACCGCAATAAGCCGTTGGCGGGTGCAGCAGAGCAGAGGTGGTGTCAGCAGAGGCAGGGGAAGGCGAAAGAGCGACGGAAGGAGGTGCGGCTGGAAGAAAGATGCCAAGAGGTGCGGCGGATTGAGGCCGTTCAGACAGAAACGAAGGGCGATCAGCCAATGGGTGAAATTGGACCAACAAACACGGCTTGTCCGCTCATTCGGCGCATCGAGACGCGCGGCTTGACGGGGTGGGAATAATTCTCGCGTCGCGGATGAGGAAATGGGAAGGAGGGTTCAGTGGTGCTTGCGAAACAGAAGTTCATGCTTTGCGAAACAGTTTTCTCTGGTCTGAGATACTTTTCTCTCATGCTGGAGTGGATGTGATGTGAACATGGAAGTGCAAACAATGCAACTTCAAGACTTTTAAGGTTGGGTTGTGGAAAGAACTCAACGGTGATTACGTCACTCTGCGACTCCAGCATCGTGTTGTGTTCCAAGAAACTGGCACACTTTGGCCAGCAATGCATGGCGGGCATCCTGGAAGAACGTGTTGCGAGCACGACAGATGGACGAGAAGCATGTGGAATCTTTTCAATTGCTGCCCGGATGACACGTGAAAGTCGAAGAAGGATTGAGCGACACCCACGGGGTGGTGAGTGTGAGGCAAGCATCGCTCGACAAGTCGATGGGGACCTGTCGTCGAGAAACGACCAACCAGCATCCATATCGTCGCGGAGTCGACAACACTTGGCTCAGCTCAGCACGGCGAAAGCGCATGCGATTTAGTCAACAGTGTACGGCAAGGAATGGTTGGTTTGGGTTGCGTTGCGTGCGGGCAGAGGCGAGGCGAAGTGGAATTGGACAAGGCAAGTAGTCACGCAACCCAATTTTGAACCGACCAGAATATGGGAATCAAAACTACGGAAACCGAATTTATTTATCATCAACCGTGTTTCCAGGCACCTACTCAGCTTTTGCTGTGCTGGCGGCAGAACATGGAGGATTATGTTTGTTTCACATTTGGCAGGCGACGCCTGGATTGTTTTGGCGCGCTTTCAGTCCCTGCGATTACTGTCAATGTTACGAGTGGTGCCTCCAGTGCTCAAGTCTTATAAACACAGATGCATCAGTTATTAAATTTGGTCCACAGGATCTTAGTATGGTATTCCTGGACAGGCATCTATGGCGACCGTTTATCTAGATGGGGGTACAATTGTGTTTTAAAGCCTTTGGCCCAAATTGTTCATCCTTTATGCTGCGATCAATAATATATCGTAACCAGGATCACCTCTGGAAGGTTCGCACACTTCTAGTCTAGTGGTGGTAGGCCCTTGACCTCAATAGCAGAGTGAATGTAAAATGCTTGAGATAATAGAAACATGCAAGTACAACGATATAAATAAAAGTACAGGGGAATATGAATCGACCTAGCTAGCCATGTACTCTAAGGGGTACATTCCCTTATTCAAGTTCATTCCCAACCGTGCGGCGTGTACAGTTACGAAACTTCTCCCGCCAGAATCCTTCTACCTGCACCTGCCCGATGCCGTCTGCTCCGACGGTCCAGATGCATCCCAACTGTCTGATGCTTCGAGTCAATTCTGACTCTTCACATTCGTTCTCGATACTGCATGCTCCTTTAACTCCGGTCGGGAGTGCACTGTAATCTTCATTCATTGCTATTCGTAGCATCCCCCTTCACTCCTGGTCGCAGCTCGACTTGACCTGCTTGACCACTCCGCTGAGCTCGGAGAAATGCTGATACTGCTGGCGTGGCAGTCGCTTCGTGAGAAAGTCTGCTGCCATGTCACCAGTCGGGCAGTAGGTCAAGTTAACCTTGCATTTGTCCACTTCGTCCTTCACGAAGAAATACCACAACGCAATGTGCGGTTGACGAAACCAGGTTTGTTCGCGATGCGAATCGCGCTCTGGTTGTCGCAGTGAAGACGAAAGGTGGACGAAGCTAGAATTTTATGTCAGAATCCCAACCACTAAACCACTGGGATAAAAGGGTTTATAGCGGGTCAGTGCGCCCATAACCCCCCAGGCCAACATGCCTGTAACCCTTCCCTAGGATCAATCGGGGATCACCAGTAGACCTCTGACACCCCCCCGCACTGGGATGCCCGAAGTGCACACACCGGGATTCTTACACGAGACCTTCGCTCTGATACCATGTCATAATCCCAGCCACTAGACCACTGGGATAAAAGGGCTTGTTAAGTAGCGGGTCAGTGCGCCCATACCCCCCCAGTCCAACATGCCTGTAACCCTTCCCTAGGATCAACCGGGGATCACCAGTGGACCTTTGACATTTTCGCCTCCTGCAGGAGTTCCTACAAGTAGAGGCCTTCACGAACTGCTGCGGTTGCTGCGATGAATTCCGCTTCGGCTGACAACAGGGCAACCAGCTCTGCTTCTGCGAATTCCAGGAGATTAGTCCCGTTGGTTCGAGTTGGAACAGGAAGCCAATCCTCGACCGTCGATTGTCGGGATCTGCTGCGTGATCGGCGTCTACGTAGCCGATGAGGTTGAAGGATAGGGTTGGTGCAGTTGAGTAGCACAGCCCAACCTTGGGCGTTCAAACGAAGAACTGTAGGGCGCGCTGCAGGTCCAAGAGATTCTCCGCCGTTGGTTTGCGTGAATACTAGGCCAGCTGACTTGCGATGTAGGAAAGGTCAGGCCTGCATGTGACAGAGGCAAAGAGCAGGTATCCCAGCTGCTGCTGGTAAGTCTGAACTCCAGCAAGGGATAGGGCTTTGTTGTCAGGTTTGTGGTTCGGTCCAAGAGTTCCGTAGGGAGTGGGGAGCGGTGCAGGTGAAATGTTGAACCGCTTCCCTAACTCCTCTGCGTACTTAGCCGCTGAGAGGTGAATGGCCTCAGGCGGGTAGGAGATGTTGAGGCCTAAGAACTGCTTCACCTCATAGTTGCATGCGATGTCGACGCGCCCTGCCAGAGCCTTCTTGAATTGCTCAAGCAGTTCGTTGCTCGATCCTGTATAAAGTAGGTCGTCGACGTAGACCGTGAGTAGAATGTATTCGCCGCGGAAATCACGGCGATACATCCCAGGATCGTGTTGCATTTGTTTGAACCCGATTTCAAGCAAAATGTTTTGTAGATACTGCTGCCACAGCCTCGGCGCCTGCTTGATCCCGTAAAGGGACTTGCGCAGTTGACACACGCGCGAGTCCCCTTCGCCGTATGTATGCGGCTGCTCCACTTAGATTACGACATCTACTAATGCGTAGAGGAACGCGTTCTTGACGTCAATCTGGGGGAGAGGTAGGTGCCTTGCGGATGCGATGGCGAGCAGGATTCGGACGGAGGTGTGGCGACTTACTAGAGAAAACGTCTGGTCGAAGTCGATCCCATGCCTTTGGTAATAGCCACGCACCACCCAGCGCGCTTTAAAACGCTCGATCGTTCCATCTGCTGCGGTCTTCACGCGAAAGACCCATTTTCCCAAAAGAATTCTTGCCCCTTTAACCGCTGCGCGGTCGACTAACACCCAGGTGTCTCGGGATTCGAGCGCCTTGATTTCCGCGTCCATCGCCTCACGCCATTCTTTGCTGTGTGGTCCAGTGGGTGCTTGGCACGGGTTTTGCGGCTCGATGACAGGTGGCGCCTTCGAGGTTGCGGTGTGAAGCCCGAGCAGCTGCAATCCTGAAACGGTGTTGTCGTGGCGACGTTGCGGGACGACTTCCTGCACATCGTCATCATCGCCCTCTGGTTTAGGTGGTGCAAGTGGCGCTGCGCCACTGCCTCTTCCGCCTGTTCCGCCCATTCCTCCTCCGGAGGAATCGTCGTCATCGTCGTCGTCACTGCTGCGATCTCTCCGTGTGAACTCGCCCCTGGTGTTCTGCTCCAGGATTGCTGCCGCAGCTTCGTCCTCGGGCGTTGCGTAGCTGTGCCCATCGTTTGCATAAATACGGTTTGCATTCGTCTGCTCGTCGTGGCGGAACTGGTCGAGGAAGAGGCGTTCGTAGAAAATCACGTCGCGAGTGTGGGTGGTCTTCTGACTGAGCAGGTCCAGCACGATCCACGCCTTGTGCTCGTGGTTGATGCCGAGGTGAATGCCCCAACGCGCGCGGCTGGCGAATTTGCCGATGGTTGACGTTCGCGGGCGGAATTGGACCATGCACCCCCACACGCGAAGCATGGACATGTCCCCCTTGGTCCCAATCCACTTCACATGCGGGGACAGGTTGCCGGTGATGGCGGTAGTTGACAGTAATGTCAGTAGAGCTACACTGTGAGATCCCCGATCGATCCTAGGGGGGGTTACAAGCGCGGTTGCCTGGGGGGTTATGGGCGCACTGACCCGCTACTGAAACAAGCCCTTTTATCCCAATGGTCTAGTGGTTGGGATTCTGACATGGTATCACAGCGGTCTCGGGTTCAAATCCCGGTGTATGCACATGTTGGCCATTGCCAGTGTGCTCAAATCCTGGGCCTCCCAGTGTGGGGGGGTGTCAGTAGAGCTACACTGTGAGATCCCTGATCAATCCTAAGGGGGGGTTACAAGCGCGGTTGCCTGGGGGGTTATGGGCGCACTGACCCGCTACTGAAACAAGCCCTTTTATCCCAATGGTGTAGTGGTTGGGATTCTGACAAGTAAGTTGTGCACCCGCACGGCGTGGTGCATCGCGTAAGTCCAGTAGATCGGCGGCAATTTTGATTGCTTCATCAATGCTCGCACCTTCGTCATCAGCGTGCGGTTCGTCCGCTCAGCTACGCCCTGCTGCTGGTGTACGTAGGGGAGAGAAATATGGTGCTCGATCCCCTTTTGCGCGAGGTAACTCTGCATCTGATTGCTCCTGAAATCCTTTGCGCCGTCAGATTGCCATATTTTCAACTTCTCCCCGGATTGCCACTGCGCGTGCGCAAGCCAGAGGCGGAACACCTCACAGGCTTTGTCGCGTGACTCAACATTTACGATCCACACATAGCGCGTCCCGGCGTCGATGAAGGTAAGTGGGTACATTTCGTCGTCGACTCCACAGTGCCCCACGTTCAGGAAATCGCTGTACTCCTTGTACAGCTTGGGGTAGCGATTCGTCCCTGCCTCAAGCAGCGGGAACGGCTGGTGGCTTAGCGCAGCTTCGGGGCGGACGGTGCAGTTGCGCGGATGTGTCGTGCCTCTCACTTCGGTGCCGTCTGGGCGTAGCAGCGCCCCAGGAGCGAAGACTCCTTCGTCGATGCAGTTCTTCAGTGTCGCACGCGAAGGATGTCCGAGACGCTGATGCCAGAGCGCGTCGTCAGCGCAAAAGCCGCAAGTGCGCAGGTAGCGTGCGCGAGCTTCTTTGGGATCCTCATTAGGTACAGAGGCAGGTGCTGGTGGTGCTTCTTCTGCTGCTTCATCTTCGTCGTTGGCGGTAGTCAGCATTAGCGCCAGAAACTCTCTGTCGCGAATCTCAGAGAGGGGGATGTTAGTCCCAGGGATAGTTCCAAGGAAAAAGGTCGGTTCGCGCGACTCAGGAGCAGGTCCGTAGACAGTGCGACGCGGAGTTGACGGTTCGTTGCCTCAGTCGATGGTGTCCCAGGGGTCGCGCTACGGTGGGTTGTCAGGAGGAGGTAATGCGAGTGGAGCGTGGCGCGGGGGACGACCAAGAGCAACAACTGCAGGTGTTGCCTCAGTTTCCTCTGCTTCATCCTCTCCCCCCTTTTGTTCTTCGCGGAAAGTCCCCCAGCCGCTGTTGTCGGCGCAGTTGTGGCGCCCCATCCCCCGCTTGCGTTGGCCCAGGTTCCGCCACTGGTTTCCCATCCGCCGGTATCACTCGTTCCCCATCCACCAGCGCTTCCCCACCCCCCTTCATTGGAGGCGCTTTGTTCCACTTCGGCTCCCCATGCGCCGCAAGCGAATGTTCTGCGCGCTTCGGCGAGGCATTGTTGGCGAAGCTCCTCAGCTTCACGGCGCGCCAATTCTTCTTCCTGCTCCACGGTAAGTTTCATCGACGGGTCGCGTTGATGAGGGTAAATTTCCAAAAATTTCTCGTGGGTGTAGGGTCGCGGCACGCCATGCGCATCAAAGGATCCGACGCCAGTACCGTGCAGCATTCCTTGCAGGTGTTGGGAGGGGGGTCCAATGAGAGGGTGTTCTAGCGTGCTGAACACCCCCCGCGTGGTGACTTCAAGCTCTAACTGTGAAATTCCTTCCTCTGGCGGCGCATGCCGCTCGGCTTCGGCTTCGGCGCATGGCGACGAGTCTGCGGCCGGCGATGGCGCTAATGGACGCTGTTGGCGTGTGACAATCCCTGCAGATGCGGTCTGCGTCAGGGTTGTGTAGCGCTGTTTTGCGTGGGTGGGGATGATGCAGCACCCACGGTCTGCCGTCAGGGTGCTTTCAGTCCCTGCGGTGAATATGCTTGAAGCGCAGTGGCACGAGGTTGATTAGCTTGTGCGAATCGCCACTGCAGTCGAGGATGTCAAAATCCAGGACGTACACTCCATTTTCAGAGTGCGCTCGTCCGATCTGCTTGCGGGGAAAAATCCTTGATTCGTAGTGCACCAAGATGTCGCGTGTTGTGCGGTCCGTGCTGAGATCAATGCCGCAGTCCATGAGCTGTGCGGCGGAAAGCAAGTTGAAGCGTAGGTTCTGGAAGATCAGCACATCATCGAGCGTGATGTGCGTGCGGCTTCCGCGTGCCTTGAGCACGACGATGCCTTGCGCGCTTGCGCACACGCAGGTGTTGTTGGCCACGGTGACGAAGGTGACAGTGGGGGTGGCGACGGCGTTGGATATGTAACGCTCGGAGCCCACCATATGCTGGCCGCAGTAGCTGTCCAGATACCAGGTGTTGTAACGCTTGTTGTCGTCACGCGCGAGCAGCGCCAGTCGCGGCGTGACGACGTGCGGGGTGTCGAACTTCAGAAATTGTTCGCGCGAGAGCTAGTCAAGTGGCGCCACCCGCATATCGAGTACGTGCGGGGGACTTTCAAGCAGCGAGACTGGAAGGTTCCAATCCTGTTCGTTGTCGTCGGTGTAGTCGTGGGGCGGACTAAACGGATTATTGTTGGAGAACGCGCCAACGGGGTACGGTGATGGCTCAGGTGAAGGTGAGCGTTGTTAGAATCTAGAGACAGGAACGATTGACTATTGGGAAGGTTGGGTACAAGTACAAACCCTAGGAATGTATTGTACCCCATATGTGCTAACCCACTACAGCCTACACCCTAGCATTATATATATGTAGTTTGACACACCCCCATAGGCAAAGTGGGGGAGAACAGAGGGTCACAAGACCAGTCAAGAAATGAAAAGCAAGCTCAGGGTGGATCACAACGTCACCACACACACTGAGCACAAGCAAGAGGCCACAATGCAAGTTCACATGCAGAGATATATATATGCAATAAGAATAGCACAGTGATCTCTACCTAGCAGAGCAAGCATGCAAGTATATATATAGATCACAGTACAAGCAAAGTCTACAACAAGTGAAGAAACCTGGGCACACGGCCTAACAAAGTGCAGAAACGCTGATGATCACCAGACTGAAGTGCCTTGGTGAATATATCAGCAGTGTTGGCCCGAGTGGCCACGTGAGCGAGACGAAGTTGACCACGCTGCTACAACTCTCGAGCCAAGAAGTAGCGGAGAGCGATGTGCTTCGTTCTGTGCTCCAGTCTGTGCTTCTAACACAAAGCAATGGCGGCCTTGTTGTCGACGTACAGCACTAGAGGAGAACGAGGCCGCTCTCCCAGGTCGGTCAGCGGTAGGTGAGCCAGCGTAACTCCTGTGCAGCCATGGCTGTGGCGTAGATCTCAGCCTCACAACTAGAGCTGAGAACTGAAGACGAGCGTGTAGAACGCCAAGAAACTGAGCCAGAGCCAAGGCTGAAGGTGTATCCCTGTGACGACCGCTGCGTAGCCTGGTCATCAACCCAAGAAGCGTCGGAGTGATCAGTGAGGACAACGTCGCCCCGTCCTCCAAGCACGAGCTCTATGCCCAATGTACTGCACAAGTAACGCAGTACCCTCTTCGCAGTATCCATGTGCACCTTTTGGTGCTGACCATGGGCCACGTAGTGAGCTAGAAGGCCAAGAGGGTACGCGAGGTCAGGACGAGTGCAAGTCATCCGGTACATAAGGCAGCCAACTAGTTCTGGGTAAGGACCACTCGGCTCTATGGACTCGTCCGAAGGTGGAGCTGAGAGCGAGTGACCTGTAGCTAGAGGAGTGAGTGCCGAGGACCAGGTGAAGCCGAAGCGCTGAAGGACCTGCTGCACCATGTGTGACTGAGTCAGGGTGATGGTGCGACGTGCTTTGTCCCGGGTGATCTGCAAGCCAAGGTAACTGCGCAGCTCACCCAAGTCTGTGCACGTGTGTCTCTTCTGCAACTCCGACTTCACCAAGGCGAGAACCTCAGTGTCAGCAGTGGCAAAGACCAAGTTGTCAACGTACACGAGGATGTAGAACAGCGGCAGCGAATTGTCGGAGCGCAGAAACAGTGACGGGTCAGCAGTCGACGGAGTAAACCCAAGAGTCGCAAGTGTCGTCCTCAGTGTGTCGTGCCACTCACGTGGCGCCTGGCGGAGACCGTAGACCGGCCGTCGAAGGCTCCAGTGGGTACCAAGAGGGAACAACCCAGTGAAGCCAGGCGGGCGGCGTAGCCAGATCTCCTCGTGCAGGCTGCCCTCTAAGAAAGCTGTGCTGAAGTCAAGAGAGTGAATCTCGTAGTCATGCTGAGTGGCAACGTGCAGCAACACCCGAAGAGTGGTCATCTTTGGGGTGGGAGAGAAGGTCTGGAAGAAGTCAACTCCCTCTCGCTGAATGAAACCTTGAGCAACGTAACGAGCCTTGAAGACAGGCGGAGAACCTGGCGACCGCTTCACCCTGAAAATCCACATGCCATCGACGATGTTCGCCCCAGGAGGGGGGACCTCATCAACGTAAGCGCCTGTGGACTTCCAGGATGCCATCTCTGCATCCATGGCTGTCTGCCACTGAGAGGAGTACTCACCCGCGATCGCCTTAGCGTAAGAGCGCGGGGTCGGGATGTCTGGAACATCCGGGTCTCCCTCGGGGGCAAGCAGCATGGACACGAGATGAGGCGCAGCAGTTGCAAAACACTCAAGGTCCTCCTGCCTGTCCTCAAGGACGTGCGTGCCAAGAGCACACTCACCCCCGATGGACGGAGGACAGACACACTCAGACTCAGCAACAAGACTAGCGGCGTAGTCTTGAAGACAGGCAGCAGCAAATTCAACAAGCTCAGCGACTAAGGCAGACGCAGCAGCAGACTCAAACGACGGGTCAGTGACAATAGTGGCTAGCAGACGCGTGACAGTAGGGTGAGCAGGACGAGCGCGGTCAGACTCAGGCTCTGGAACGGCAGGCAGAGAAGACGCAGGCGGAGACAGCAGGGGAACACGCTGCAGAGCAGAAGAAGGAAGCAGGGCCATGAAGTGTGTGCCGGGGACAGCCGGCGGACGCTCACGAGGAACACGACGACCAGTACGACTAGTGCTGTGAGAGTACGACGGCTTATGCCAGCTATGCTTGCTTGCCTTAACTTTATCATGCTATTTCTAGCATAGGATAAATCATATGCATGCATGAATTGCTTGATTTCCTAGGCTAGGTGCTTTCCTATATTTTATTTTAGTTATAGCACCGAGCTAGGTTGCGTGCACCAAATTCTGGCTTTTCGGTTGCCACCGAATTGCCTTCTACCGAATTCGGGAAGGATCTGTTCGGGACGCTTCGCCGACCCGCGGAACCTTCGCGTAACACCTGGTTACTAGGCCTTGTGTCGAGCCTATATATAGCCTCGTGTCGTACCCAGGTGATCATTCATTTCAAACTCTGTTTCCTGAGCTCGATCCTAGATCTCACAAGTGCGAACAGTGCGAACAGGCGAGACAGGACGAGACACAGGCTCACGACGCTCAGCAAGACTGCTTGTCAGCTCAGTGTTAGGAGAAGGAGCAGGCATCGGTGAGCCAGGCTATAACGGAATTCCAGTAGAAGACGGGAGGCTAAGAACCTGGTGAATCACGAGCGCCAACACCCCCAGCAGCTCCAGCTCCAGCAGCAACAACTCCAGTAGGACCGTCAGCACCAGCTGCCTCAGTAGCACCCCCAGACGCACCAGCACCAGTAGAAACACCAGCGCCAACACCCCCAGCAGCTCCAGCTCCAGCAGCACCAACTCCAGTAGGACCGTCAGCACCAGCTGCCTTAGCAGCACCCAAAGATGCACCAGCACCAGTAGAAACACCAGCGCCAACACCCCCAGGCTCAGCAGCACGTCTCCAGCGGCGGGCAAAATACACGCGCAGCTCCTGTGGAGAGAGCGGCTCCCGCCTCGACGAAGTACCGCCGGCGGCCACACGAGCAGACCCAGCACCCCCAGGCTCCGCACCCCCAGACTCAGCACCCCCAGGCTCAGCACCCCCAAGCTCAGTACCTCCAGTCTCAGCACCCCCAGACTCAGCACCCCCAGACCCGGCACCCGCAGACCCGGCACCCGCAGGCTCAGCACCTCTAGCAGCACCAGTGTCTACAGCTACCTCGACAGGCTCGACTGCGTCTACCTGGGACACACCTGAAGGGGCAGGACCCTGAGGAGGGAGGGGGTCTACCTGAGTAGCACCTGGCGCAAGAAAGAGCGGCGGCGGGGGGAGGGGCGCAGTGCGGTAGGGGAAGAGACGGTAGTAAGGCACCGGCTCGTCAGAGGTGACGTCCTAGGAGGACAGAACACGGCGCGTAGTGGGGTGGTAAAACTGCCAGCCAGGCGCGTCAGGGGGGAAGCCAAGGAAGACGCAAGGAATAGCACGGGGGGACAGCTTGTCCGCAGACAAGTCGCGGACAAATGCCCGAGATCCCCAGACCCGAAACGCAGACGCATCGCCAACCTTCCCTGTCCACCGCAAGGCAGGGGAGGTCTCTGGCAAGGAGACCTGGGGCTGAAGGCTAAGCTAATGCGCGGCTTACTGAACCGCAAACGGCCACAGAAAATGGGGGGCAGCCGCATGCATCATGGACGTACGCGCGACGTCCATGACCATGCCAATGTGGTGCTCAGCAATCCCATTTTGCTGTGGAGAGGCCGGAAGCGTGAAGGTCTGGCGGATGCCCTGTGCCTGACAGAAGGCTCCCAGACGGGCAGAGGAAAACTCCCCTCCTCTGTCAGAGTGCAGACGCAGAACAGGAAAGTCCGAGCCGAAACTCTCTCTGAGCTGGAGACGAGCTGCGCGGATCCAGTCGATCAACACCTCAGCGACGTCACCCTTGCTGCGCAAGGGAAGACTGTGGTGTAACGCGAGTAGTCGTCAACGACCAGCAGAAAGTACCGCTCTCTCCCCTGCCCACTGGCGCGGGCTGGGCCCCACACGTCCATGTGTAGAGTCTGCAGCGGAGCCTCTGTCGGAGGAAACTCGGAGGAGTGAGGGGCGGCGCGCTGTCGCCCCTCGACGCAGGGGACGCAGGTAGGGCCAGGCCCCGGAGGAAGGGGAGGGAGAGACAGAGGAAGACCAGAGACAAGGACATGGGAGGCCATGCCTCGGAGACGAGGCAAGGAGGGGTGACCAAGGCGGTGGTGCCAAAGGAGAGTCTGGTGGGACAGCAGACGACACGAGCAGGGGACAAACTCAGGACCAGACCTGGATGCCGCAGCAAATACCTGACTCGACGCAGCTACCTGGGCAGACCCAGCAGAAGGAGGAGACTCAACAGTAAGGGTGTACAGGCTCGACCCTGGCCGACGGGTGAACGTGGCCAAGTGTCGGCCTGTCCGAGCACACCTGCAGTGGGTCACTCGCTGACTCGCAGGAGTGAACTGGTCAACCCCTCGATCCTGTAGGTCTGCTCCACTCACCAAGTTCGTAGAGAACGAGGGGAGGTAGAGACGAGACAGGGTGCCAGAGGGGGCTGCAGGGCATGGAAGGACAGTGGAGAAGCTAGCAAGGACAGGACCCCCAGAGGGGTCTGCTAGGGAGACTGCAACCGGCCGACTGAGCGGCGTAAGAGTGGTGCGGTCTCGAAAGAAGGAGCGGGACGCACCCGAGTCCAGGGTGAAGGTGTGGAAGGCCTGAGCCGACGTAGTACCTGAGAGAGCAGACTCACCAGCACCTGGGGCGGCAGACGCACTGGCACCTGGGGCAGCAGACGCATTAGCACCTAGAGCAGCAGTCTCACCAGCACCTAGCGCAGCAGCCTCAATGCCCGGGTCAGGCGGTACACACAGGTAACAGGCACCCTCAACACTATCAGCAATAGCATACATGGCAGCAAGAATAGCATCAAATTCAAGATCAAAGATAGCAACCCCGGCCTTAGCCAGATCTCCCCATCGAGGGATCTCTGACGCCTCAGGGAACTGGCGACGCCACGCGTCCGTCAGGCGACCAAAGCAGCGCTGGGTGGAGTGCGGACCCCCGCACTGCTCACCAGTGGGGTCACCGGTACGGAGAACGTAAGAGTAGGGACCAAAACCCCCACCGCGCTGGCGTGCAGTGTACCACTCACGAAGCTGCTGAGGGGACAGGGTCACACCACTCTGCTGCTGCTGCTGGCGCTGACCACCACCGGCGCCACTCCTCGGCGCAGAGTCGCGACTCGCTCCACCACCACCGCCTCCGCCGCCGCCGCCGCCTCCGCCGCCTTCTCCACCTCCGCCTCCTCCACTACCTCCGCCGCCTCCGCTCCCTCCGCCACCTCCACCGCCCCCGCCGCCTCCACTGCTACCGCCGCCGCCGCCACCCCCAGCACCACTCCCACCACCACCCCCACTCCCTCCACCGCCTCCACCACCACCTCCACCGCCCCCTCCACCTCGTCCAGTGCCCTTGCCCCCCTTGCCCTTGCGGGTGGGGCGTCTCCCGCTCGGGGCAGACGCAGCGCCGACCGACTCGAAACCAACGAGGTCGGCCGCAGCAGCAGAGGCAACATAGGGCAAGAGGGGGGAGGGAGAACACCCCTCAAAGACGGGGGTGCGAGGGTCACCACGAGAGGCTCCTACAGCGACTATGCTCTTCTTTATCGCTAGGAGGGCCTTCTCGAGGAGGTCAACGGTGAGAGTGGTGGGGCAAACAGAGAGGAAGTGGTCCCTGACTACACGGAGAGAGTCAGGGAGGCAGGTGACTATGTAGTAGAGGGTGATGTACATGGGGGGGGGGGGTTCTTGGCGCAGAACTCAGCAGGAAGCGCAGCGCGGTAGCGAGTGTCACTAGTGCGGATGTGCGTAATGAGGTCAGCGACAGTGGGAAAGGCAACAAGGTCAGGGAAGAGGTACGGTAGCATGAGGCGGCTCAGTGCAGCAGTGGCAGGGGAAGAGTAGCGTGCAACTACAGCGTCGTACAAGGTCTGAGCACTCTTGTACTGGCTAAAGTGTGCACGCTCAGTGGTCGGTAAGTGGCGGCGCAAAGCAAGGCGAGCAGCAGCGTCACGTGTGGCCCACTGTGAGCGAACAGTGGCGTCAGCATGAGCAGCAGGGGCAGGGGAGGCACCAGAAGTGAGGTCAAACAGGGAGAGACCGTCTGCCCTATCGCACTGTAGGAAAAGCTGCAGATCATCTACCCAGACCTCAAAGTCCACTGCCCGACCCTCAGCGTCAAATGTGAGAACGCTAGGGGAAGCCATAACAGCAGGAGGCAGGGAAGTGCAGTGGCAGAGACTGTGCTCTTACCAGGTAGGTGGAGCGATCGGGCTGCTTGGCGGCTCGGCTGTCGGGCGACTCGGCTGCAGGGCGGCTTGGCTGCTGGGCGGCTCGGCTGCTGGGCGGCTCGGCTGCTGGTGCTGGGCGGCTTGGCTGTCGGGCGGCTCAGCTGCTGGGCGGCTCGGCTGCTGGGCGGCTCGGCTGCACGGTGCTGGGCGGCTCGGCTGTCGGGCGGCTCGGCTGCTGGGCGGCTCGGGAGGTCGGGCGGCTCAGGTGGCCGGCGGTTCGGCTGCTCGGCGTTGCGGGCGCTGGGAGGCGGGGTCGCAGGTGGTGGCGAGGTCGCAGGTGGCGGCGGGCCGCAAGGGTGGGCGGGGCCGCGGTGGCGACGGGGCCGAAGTGGGGCCTAAGTGGGGCCGTAGAGGGGCCGACGGGGCCGAAGTGGGGCCGTAGTGGGGCCGCAGCGGGGCCTAAGCGGGGCCGTAGCGGGGCCGTAGCGGGGTCGTAGTGGGGCCGACAAGGCCGTAGCGGGGCCGTAGCGGGGCCTAAGCGGGGTCGACGGGGCCGTAGCGGGGCCGTAGCGGGGCCGTAGCGGGGCCGTAGCGGGGCCTAAGCGAGGCCGACGGGGCCGTAGCGGGGCCTAAGCGGGGCCGTAGCGGGGCCGACGGGGCCTAAGCGGGGCCGTAGTGGGGCCGACGGGGCCGACGGGGCCGTAGCGGGGCCGTAGCGGGGCCTAAGCGGGGCCGTAGCGGGGCCGACAGGGCCTAAGCGGGGCCTAAGCGGGGCCGTAGCGGGGCTGACGGGGCCGTAGCGGGGCTGTAGCGGGGCCTAAGCGGGGCCTAAGCGGGGCCGTAGCGGGGCCGACGGGGCCTAAGTGGGGATGTAGTGGGGCCGACGGGGCCGACGGGGCCGACGGGGCCGTAGCGGGGCCGTAGCGGGGCCTAAGCGGGGCCGTAGCGGGGCCGACGGGGCCTAAGCGGGGCGGTAGCGGGGCCGACGGGGCCGACAGGCCCGTAGCGGGGCCATAGCGGGGCCTAAGCGGGGCCGTAGCGGGGCCGACGGGGCCTAAGCGGGGCCGTAGCGGGGTCGTAGCGGCCTAAGCGAGGCCGTAGAGGGCGACTCGAGGGGCAGTAAGGGCGGCCAATAGGGGCCACTAAGGCGGCTCGAGGGGCTACTCGGGCTAGGAGCTAAGCGCGCTCCGGGCAGGGAAGGAAAAAAAGTTCGTGGTGGGCCCTAGGCAGTATTCCCACTCGGGAACCTGCTCGATACCATGACGAGAAGTGAGAATGGAATGAATGCACTATGAAATAGTTGGGTACAAGTACTAACCCTAATTGGGTTGTACCCCTTATGGGCTACCCCACTACAGCCTACACAAATGTATAAGCTATAATGTTCTGACATTTACCACCGAAGTGCGGGATCACGCGAAACGACACTGCCCTCGCCCTAGTCGAATGAAGGAGCCCGTATCAATCCAACAAGTTCGGGACATGTCCGCGAACTACTTGCAGTCGGACAATCCTGCTGAATTTCAGAAGGGGTTGATCCCTATCCTCATGTACTCCGGATTTTTGCGATACTCCGACCTGGTGGCCATCCAGTGGCAAGACATCCAATTCGACGACGAAGTCATGTGGATCCTCATCCCACACTAAAAAACGGACCAGGCTGGTCGTGGAACTTGGATTCCCATCGCAGCAACGACGGACCCCTGTTGCCCCGTACACTGCACCCAACGCTTCCTTCAACTCGCTGGCTATGGCCCGCATTCAGAGGGGTCGCTGATTCGCGTTTTTGGTCACGCTTCAGCCAACAAGGGTCAGGCCAAGCCACCCTCGTACACAACGATCCGGAACTGGTGTAAAGAAGCATTCGCAAAGGTTGGACTTGGGGAGCAGCAGCTCGGCACGCACTCCTCCCGAAAGGGCGCGGCAACCGTAGCAGCCAACATCGGCGTGCCGGTCAGGATCTTCAAAAGGATGGGCAGGTGGCGAAGTGACACAGCCAAAGAGATGTACGTCACACCACACGTCGGACATCTTATCAAGGCATCCCGCGACCTACAGGACCCGACACACGCACTGCCCCCAGAACAGCACGCAGAGGCACTCTTACGCAACTGGAAGCCACCGCTGCCCATGTCTCAGAGGCGCCAGTTGCAATGAGAACGATGCCAAATTATAAGGACAAGAAAGCAAGCTTTCTCAATATTATAGTTTTTAAACACATTGACGTTTTTCAAAATTGTGTATTGTGAAAGCGAAGCTGCCTGTACCGAATATTTGGCAGCGTCGAAGCACGCTAAACGCCCTTCTCCAACTACAAAAACCGTGGGTTGAAGTTGATTCCCTCCACCCACGTTTCTCGTTTTCCAACGGCTCAATCAACATCCCCACCACCCACCCCGGACCAACTACAAGACCACAACTGCTTGGACGGACGACTCCATAGCTAGTAATATTTGTATGTACTAGCATGTGTTTGAAACCGAAATATAAAATAGTGAAGGCCGTCCCACCTTGAAATCGCTGCGATGAGTTCGGCTGGTACAACACTGTTCCAAACAAAACGGTTAGGCAGGTTGAAGTAATCTGATTGGCTCACACCAATCTGAAAAAAATTGGCTCCCGCCAAAACGATTTTCAAGGTTCATATCAGCTGTCGCATACGTGCGTGCTGCATCCGCACGACCGTTCCCTGGCGATGCTTTTTCGTCGCCAGGCCCAACTCCAATTTCAAGCTGGTCCTGGGCTCATCACCCACTTCCTCTAGTCACTAGTTTATTCACATAGCAGAGTGAGAACTAATCATTCCAGCTTTCTGCCTAACATTGAGTAGCTTAGGACCTCGACAATTTCCGACTAGGCGCGTAGTCATGAACTTTGCGCTTCTGCGTAATACATCTTGTATTAGCGCATTGTGTTTCCAAGCCTCGCGCAATCATCGCGTTGCGTTTCCCTGACGCCTTCGCGCTCTCTCTCCCGTCGCCTAACGCGCTCTCTCTCCCGTCGCCTCCGAGCTCTCTCTCCCGTCGCCTCCGCGCTCTCTCTCCCGTCGCCTTTGCGCTCTCTCTCCCGTCGCCTTCGCGCTCTCTCTCCCATCGCCTTCGCGCTCTCTCTCCCATCGCCTTCGCGCAATCTCCCCTCCCATCCCGTCCACTTCATCTCCTATCGCTCACGTCCTCCCCTCTCATCCCGTCGTTCGCTTCTTTTCCCATCCCATCCCGTCGTTCGCTTCCTTTCCCCTCCCATCCCGTCGTTCGCTTCCTTTCCCCTCCCATCCTGTCGTTCGCCTCCTCTCCCCTCCCATCTCGTCGTTCGCCTCCTTTCCCCTCCCATCCCGTCGTTCGCTTCCTTTCCCCTCCCATCCCGTCGTTCGCTTCCTTTCCCCTCCCATCCCGTCGTTTGCTTCCTTTCCCCTCCCATCCCGTCGTTCGCCTCCTCTCCCCTCCCATCCCGTCGTTCGCCTCCCCTCCTCTCCCATCCCGTCGTTCGCTTCCTTCCCCTCCCATCCCGTCGTTCGCTTCCTTTCCCCTCCCATCCCGTCATTCGCCTCCTCTCTCCCTCCCTTCCGTAGTTCTTCACGGTCTCCCCTCCCATCCTGTTGTTCCCCTCTCTCTCTCCCTTTTTTTTTACCTCTCTCAACCTCAAGCCCTAGGAACCCTTTTTCTCGCAGCTCTTCCATTCGTCAGCCAACATTCACTCCCAGATCGTGCATATGTGTGTGCGCTGAGTTGTGCCTGTGCTGTTGATTGTTGTGAGTTTTGGTGAAGTTACGATGACTGCTCGAGTGAGTACAGGCCTTGCAACCTTGCGCCAAATTCGCACATGTATGTGTGTGAGTTGAGTGTGAGTTTTGCCGCCAATCAGAAATGTAAACAGGTTCCAAATGTTCCCCGTTCATATCGAGACTTGTCTGGAGTGAAAAAATAAAAACCTACAGCACTTCCAACTTTCCGAGACGTTCCAAAAAAACTTATGTTTTCAAGTGGACCCAACTACGGTAGAAGGGGGGGGTCAATATTTTAGCTGTTGGCTTTATGAACGATGCATATGTTGTAATAAGCCAGTTGCAATGAGAACGATGCCAAATTATAAGGACAAGAAAGCAAGCTTTCTCAATTTTCGTTTTGATTCGCCAAACCCAACCAGACCCCCGTTTCCCCCTACTGGTTGGGTGACTTCTCGATAGTCCCAAATTGCAGGCCCACTTCTTTTCAAAGTTCGCAAACTCATCGCTGTCAAGTTTTAAAAGCTTGACCCGCGCGGCCCGCGATTTGGGCCGCGGGCTTTAAGATGGATCAAGAGAGCCCCATCTACTTCAGGAATTGGGCCAAGCCTAGCTTTCAAGGTACAGCAGTAGGGAACACGATGCAGTACAAAATATCAAGGTTCAGAATTTTCTGACAGTGTAGATGCCAGCAGTTTTGTTGGGAATATGAATGACTTAGTGCGTTTCTGTAGTATCGAACCTCACCCGATACTGAAGCACAAAAAAAGGGGTACGAAGTCGAAAGGGCGCGTACCACATCAAACCGCAACTGGAGGTTGCGAGCTGTAACCGCCTGGAGGTTACGTAACAGCAAGCGACGCTTCAGTGAACAGTAACCGCCTCGATAGTCGAAGCGTTACGCGTCTCGATAAACACAACCGCTTCCTGTAATCCATCTTTCCTATATATTCCTGTATGCTCTTTGCTTTAATCAATTACTTGTTCTCACACACCAGCACAAGTACATTCACTCAAGTCTTCCGCTGTGCTACTCTAGCACCTACTAGCCTATTCTCTGCAAAGATCCTAAGGCTGAAATTCTCAGCCCAGCATGGTATGAGAGCAGTCAGAGAACAAGGCTCTCGTCACTAAGCCTCTCTCAGGCTACCAATCTGCAAGCAAACAAGAAGTTCAACCTTTATTCAAGAAAGGCAAGACATGGCAAGTGGCAAAGAAAGAAGGTCATCTACGGGATCTTCTCTACCCCCGGTCTCCGAGCTGCAGACCGAAGGAGGAACAACGCCCGGATTAACGCCGGAAGCGACGGAACGATCTACTCAGGCGCCAGTAGCGCCGCCAACAAACTTCGACCCAAGCTTAATGGAGCAATTCTTCAACTTCATGTCGCAGCAACAGTCCTCACAACCTGCAAACAGCAACAGCGTAAACAACGGAGCGACACCAATGAGTATTGACAACTCATCGTTCAGACGACATAATCAACAAACACCAAGCTCAGTCTCACCTGGTTCCTTCACGTTTATGCCGCCTCGCCATCCAGCGACTCCTCTTCCCGCCATCAAACGAGACGCCGAAGAAGTCCTGCAAGTACAAGCACAGTTCAACAACATCCTGCGACTGCACACATCCACACCATTCAACGGGAAAGACTTCTATTCTTGGAGTTTCGAGTTTGAACGCCTGATGGAAGGCGCGAATCTTCTTGGATTCTTCAACGCTACCTGGCCATATCCACACAACGGCGAAGACAAAGACAAGGAAAATTATACTTATCACTCTCTGATGGCCTACACCGTACTTCTTCGAAATTTGTCGCCGAACGAGCAGCAAAGCATCCGCGTCTACCGGAACTACGCAAACTCCGCGGAACTCGCTTATCAGCATCTGCGAAGCATTCATCAAGCATCCGACAGCGTTACACAAAGCAGACTCATGGCACAACTGACAACAGCTCAAATGCAACCTGGAGAAAAGGCCATGCCTTACATCAGTCGTTGTCAAGGACTACGCGACAGACTCATTCGCTGCGGAGGAAACTTATCTGAAGAAGCGTTTGTAACCGTCGTTCTCGCCGGCCTTGGACCTCAATGGCGCACCACCCGTTCATTTCTTCGCGCTCACGGTCGACTCTCCGAGATGCATCTCTGCGCCGAACTTCACGCCGAGCAGCAGGAAATGGACCTGTTCGAAGAACGCAACAACAAAAGACATCATCAACCAGTCGTTCTTTACACCAATCGACAACAGCCAAGTTACCAAAATCGAAGACACGTACCTCCTTACTGTCATCTGTGTCGGACATCAGGACATACACGCTTCAACTGCCCTCAGCAGCAACGACAACCAGCATCATTCTCTCGTCATCTGCGACCAGCGCCTCCTCATATCGCGTCAACTCAACAACGTCCCGCGACCGCCTCAACGACTACTTCAACGCGACCATCAACCTCCACTTCGGGACCTGCACAGACACCAAGAATTGTCGCCATGGCAGGAACAACAGAGTCAAACATCGACTCGTGTATTACAAGTTCACCACCGACTTACAGTCCCGACGAGCGACCGTCACCGCCACCGTCATCCCTTAATGTGAATCCAACGTATGCCGCCATCGCAAATAGCGCACCCACCGGACCCGACACATGGTTCTTGGACACCTGTTGTGGTCACCATATGTGTTCTTCATCACGGTTTCTTCAACGTGAACGACGTCTTCCGCGAGATGTCATCATTACCGTCGCCAACAACGAAAACCTACGCACCAACAAACAAGGAATCGTGGAGCTTCAGTCGAATGAAACGAATGTCATTCTTCAATTAAACAAAGTGCTCGTCGTCGACAACCTTGGCTTTAACTTACTGAGCGTCAGCCAGCTCATGTCGAAAGGCATTCACCTGGAGTGTGACTCCGACGCCCGGGAAATTCGTCTTTACCACGGAAAAGGGGGGGTCTTCATCGCCCGCGCAATTCAACAAGCCGACGTCTTCGTTCTTGATTTCGTCCCCGATAAAGGCACCGCCGACAGCGATAGCATAGTCGCCTTCGCACCTTGGACGCACCCGCCAGATCTTGACCCGAACTTCAGTCCTGAAGGCTTCTGGCACTCCCTGTCAGAGTATTATAGCTGATGCATGTTTGTAGGCTATAGTGGGGTAGCACATATGGGGTACAAGGTTTCTAGGGTTGTATTTGTACCCAATCTTTCCTTAGTCATTCCATTCCTGTTTTCCTTACTTCACATGGTATAGAGCGGGTCCTGCCTTAGGACCGTTTTTTTTTAGGGCCCACCGAAGCGCGCCCCGAGGCGCCCCTTTTTTTTAGCGACCCCTCGGGTCGCCTTTTCCCTCGCGGCCCCGCTGTCCCTCAGACGCGGCCCCGCCACCTCTCCTGATCGCGGCCCCGCCGCCTGCCTGACGCGGCCCCGCCGCCTCCCCTGACGCGGCCCCGCCGCCTCCCCTGACGCGGCCCCGCCGCCTCCTCTGACGCGGCCCCGCCTCTACTGCCGCGGCCCCGCCGCCACCTCTGAGGGCCCCGCCGCTGCACCCTACGGCCCGCCGCTGCACCCTGCGGCCCGCCGCCTCTGACGGCCCCGCCGCTGCACCCTACGGCCCGCCGCTGCTCCTGCCGGCCCGCCGCCTCACCTGAATGCCCCGCCGCTGCTCCTGCCGGCCCGCCGCTGCTCCTACCGGCCCGCCGCTGCACCCAGCGGCCCGCCGCTTCACCTGACGGCCCCGCCGCTGCACCTGCCGGCCCGCCGCTGCACCCTACGGCCCGCCGCTGCACCCTACGGCCCGCCGCCTGCACCTGCCGGCCCGCCGCTGCACCTGCCGGCCCCCCGCTGCACCTGTCGGCCCGCCGCTGCACCTGCCGGCCCGCCACTGCACCGGTCGACCCGCCGCTGCACCTGACAGCCCCGCCCCTGCATCTCCCGGCCGAGCCGCCCCAGCAGCCGAGCCGCCCGGGACCCGAGCCGCCCTGCTGCCGAGCCGCCCTGCCGCCGAGCCGCCCGGGAGCCGAGCCGCCCTGCGCCCAAGCCGCCCAGCCACCGAGCCGCCCGGGAGCCGAGCCGCTGTGCACCCGAGCCGCCCGGTCGCTGAGCCGCCTTTCTGCATAGCTGCACGACCTGCCCTGCCTGGTGAGCACAGTCCCACTGACACTGCGAGCTCTTTCCCTACTGCTTGCACTACTTCGCTGTCGTCGCCATGGCTACCCCTAGTGTCCTAGCTTTTGATGCTGAGGGTCGCGCCATTGATTTTGAGGTCTGGTTAGACGACCTGCAGCTGTTCTTACAGTGCGACAGGGCTGACGACCTTTCTCTCTTTGACCTCACCTCTGGCGCCTCTCCTGCTCCTGCTGCTGATGCTGATACCACTGTCCGCTCTAAGTGGGCCACCCGCGATGCTGCTGCACGTCTTGCTGTGCGTCGCCACCTCCCTACCTCTGAGCGTGCGCACTTTAGTCAGTACAAGAGTGCTCAGACCTTGTACGACGCTGTAGTTGCGCGCTACTCCTCCCCTGCCACTGCTGCACTGAGCCGTCTCATGCTTCCCTACCTCTTTCCTGACCTCTCTGCCTTTCCCACTGTCGCTGACCTCATTACGCACCTCCGCACTAGTGACACTCGCTACCGCGCCGCCCTTCCTGCTGAGTTCTGCGCTAAGAACCCCCCCCCCATGTACATCGCTCTCTACTACGTAGTCGCGCGCCTCCCTGACTCCCTTCGCGTCGTCAGGGACCACTTTCTCGCAGTCTGTCCCACCACCCTCACCGTCGACCTCCTCGAGAAGGCCCTCCTCGCAGCGGAGAAGAGCATAGTCGCTGTAGGTGCTTCTCGTGGTGACCC